GTCGAGCTGTTGTTCACCATCTTAGCTGTAGAGGGCAGTGTCACTGGCCCTCATGTGGGATCCGAACCAGGGCCCTGCTGCTCGGAGCTGGCGTCCCCTCCTTCCTTTTTCTTCGTCCCTCCCTCCCTCCCTTCATCTATAGTTCCATGTTGGACTGCTTCTGACCACCAACTCATCTTCTAATGGGAACAGCTCCATCTAACCCTGCCCTTTCCTCACAAACTAGGCTGGGGAGGGAGAGTGCCCTAGCACAGCTGCCCTGCGAGCACATCTCCCCTTAGCTTTCTCCATTTGGGGGTAGCCCTTGTGAAAAGCTAGGGTCCAGATGGAACCCTCTGGCTCACAGTGAAGCCACAGCTCACAGAACCATTATCTTAGCTGAGCAAGCTGCAAAGCTGATATCAGGCTCCTTTCCTCTGGCCCGCCTCGCCTATGAAGGAGTCTGGGACAGAGGAAACCACGGGCGTTTCAGGAGGGCGTTCTTGTTCAGTAGCCCTGCCCTTCTATGGGCTCGAAGTGGGTTCCTCCAGGAATGTCCCTGCTTTTCCTGCATCTTGACCATAGCCCCAGTTCAGAAAGTTTCAAGCAAATGCTGGAACCCCCCATTCATTGCACCCTGTTTCCTGGCTCTCCTTCATGGTAATTTCTGAAAGGAAAGGGGCTTTCTGGCCTGTTTTTTCCTTTCTGCCCAGCCCCCATTGCAGTGCCTGGCATATAGCAGGTCCTCAATCAATAACTAAATAAACGACTGACGGAGGCAACTATTCTTAGAGGCAGCTGTTTCCTAATTTTGTTACAGATGGAGATTCCTTCTCTACTTTTAATCTTTTTCTTCCTTTTGGCAGATTTAAAGGAGGGGAGAACCATAAACAGACTTCCACATTTCCAACTTTGCCCGGAAGGCAATTTCTCACTTTAAGGAGGAATGGCCTCATGGGCTGGCTCCTTCTCTATGTGGGAACATCACAGGAGAAAGAAGGCAGGAGGCCCAGTGTTGGTGGATCGTGCAGATGGTCCTGGAGCTCTGCTGACAACCCCTTCCTGGTGAGCAGGCGGGGCCGGTGAGGCCAAGGGAGCAGGCAGAGTCCAGCTCCCACCACCGCCCGCCTGGCCCCTGCCTCTGTGTTCCCTACTGCCCTCAACACCGGCATAGGATGCTTGGGTGCTTCCTGCCTTTGCCCAGCCCGGCTTTCCAAGCCCCCAAGTCTGCCTCACATGGTCGAGCAGGTTGAACACTGCAAAACTCCAAGAGGACACATTCCCTAAAGATCATGGTGTGACTAGAATCCACGGGAAGTTGCGCGTCGCCCAATCACCAGCACCACCCGTGGTGGCCCGGATGGGCCTGTGTTCTCCACCTCCCTGAGATCCGCGGGTGGACAGGTCACTCAGCTCCCAGTCAGGTTTTGAGGGCAATGGGAACCACTGAAGCCTTTTAGGCAGGAGAGAGAGATGCTCCCCAATGAATAAAGGCTCAAATAATAGCACAAGGAAACATCAGTCAGAATCAAAAGGCTTGGACCCCAGGCTATCCTGGCCCTCCAACCCGCCCCAGTCCCAAGGGAAGGGAGCACAGCCGTTCTTACCAGCTCCCCATTCATCCGGAGGGCATCTACCAGTTCCAGTAAGATGGATACCCGCTCGCTGGGCTGCATGGAGGGCCCGCGGAGCTTCTTGCTTTCTTCCATCCTCAGAGTTGGCAATTTTATAATCATTTGCAGTGTCTTTATGGCTTCTGGGTAGTCCCCAGACTTGTTGAGAGCTCTGGCCTTGATGAAGTGGTAGAGGGGGTGGTCTCGGACCTAGACAAGAAGAGTGGAGTGGGGGCTCCAGGTCACCGCCGCCGCTGCTCGCAGCACCCTGAATGGACGAAGCTACAGGAGCCCATTGAGCCTGCCCCTGCCTTTGGGCCAGCAGGAGGGTCTGAGGGGTGCAGGTAGCTCCCGGGCTTCTCTCCCAAGGCAAGTGGGGGCTGTAGCTAGGTGGGCTTTGGGAGACTGAGTGGGTGACAGGGCACAGAGGACCCCCACCTGGAAGTTGTGGCTGACACCCAGCTCCAAGCAGTGGGAGCACATGGAAAAGTTGCCCTGAGCCAGGTAGATCTGGGACATGAGGAGGTGGGCGTCCGCGGAGGTGGGGTCCAGCTCCAGGCAACGCTGCAGGGTGCTCTGAGCATTCTCTAACTCTCCTAGAAGTCAGAAAAAAACCTCTACATCCAGGGATCCTTGGGGACTCCAGGGACCCAATATGTAAAGGCAGAGTGAATTTACATGTCCTGTTACCCAGAAGTCCCCACGCTGGGCATTTTACTCAGTTCTGTTCTGCTTCACTCAGAGGTCTCCTCCAAAAATGAGAACACACACAGTTTTTGCCTTGACTGAGGCAAAAGCTAGGAAACCCAGACCTCAGTTAATGCCTCCCTCCTCGCTGTAACCCTCAGGGAGGTGGCTAAGTCACCTCACGGCTCCATGTGGAAGCTCCCGGGAACACTTAAGTCTCGATTCCCACCCCGAAGAGCAGAATGAAACCTAGTAATAACAGCAAGAATAATCACAACTGATGAAGCACCTGCTCCAAGCCCAACACAGGCACTTCAGAAAGTCTGGTTTCATAGTCTCCCAGCCCTGCAAGGTTGGTACTACTCTCCTTGTCTTTTAGATGTAGGACTGGGACTCTAGTGATATAAGTCATGGAGCTTAGAAGGGACAAAATCAGCATTTAAATCCAGGGCCCTCCGGCTCCCGAGGCTGAGCTCAGCACGCTCTGGCACTGTGGGGCTGAGAGGCCTCCCTGCAGCCAGGCTGACCCTGAGCGGTGGCAGTGGCCGTCCAGGGGTGGGGTGCAGTGAACTGGGGGGTAAGAGCCCTCCTCCTTCTGCACCCAGGTCCCTCAGCAGCTCCTGCTCCAGGAAAAACACAAATTGAAAACAACAAGCTCAGGGTCACCAGAGGCTGGGAGCAAAACATGTCATGGGGCAGTCAGGTCCCTGGACAGCCAGGTCTCTCTGCCCCATAACCTGGTGGGTGGGGAGCACCTGCTCCTGGGTCCCAAACTCCCTACTCCTTCCCTGTGTGCTGCAGAAATGTGAAGATGTCGCCATGGCAACCCAAGCAGCTGGAGGCCTTGCTTTGGCCCTAAACATGCTGGCAGCTGCCAGCATCCCTGGGAGGTGTTCCTGCCCTCGCTTGTACCAAGGAGACCTTGAAGCTGGGGATAGACCTGGTGCCCAGGTAAGCCTGGGGAGGACCGAGGATGGAGACGGGGAGCCCTCATCAGAGTGCAATCCACGGATGCAGAGGCAGAGGAGAGACACATGGCATTCCGGATCCTTGGAAGCCCCCGGGACACCAGGGATCAGCTTGGCTTTCAAGCAGACAGGGGTGAAAGGTTGCAGAGAGACAGAGGACAAGAGTGCACCCACCAGGGTTCTCTCACCATTTCCTTCTCTTTCCAGGATCTGGGCCTTGAGATGGGAGAAGGATGCCACTCTGGTCATCTGTGGGCTTTGAAAGTCTAATGGCACAGGGTCTCACCGCCCCATGAGGCCTTCCTGACCACCTTTTTAAAACTGCAACCCTGCTACCCCACCCCATCTATCCTGTTTCGTTTTCTCCATAGCATTATCATGTCCCCAAAACAATACAATGTACTTAGTTGTTAGATCCTTACTGGAGTGCAAACTCCATGAGGGAATGTCTGCCTGTTTTGAATAGTGCTGTATCCTAGTATCAGAGCCGTGCCTGCGCTAATGGGACTTCAGTGACAATTGCCTGACACAGACCAAGCAATCAGCAAAAGGCCTGGGTGGGAGAGACCCCTGCTGGTGAGGGATGTCAGGAAGTTTTCTGGGGAGATTGGAGGTCAGGAGGAATAGGCAGACCTGTGAGGGTGAGGGTGTGTGTGTGTGTGTGGTGTGTGTGTGTGTGTGTGTGTGTGTGTGTGTGTAAAGGATCCCAGGCAGGGAGCCTGTGGACACTAACCCGGGGCAGAAGTCCTGCCAGGTGTCTGAACAGATGTGGGAGGATGCAAGGCCTCACCTGGCCACCAGGACCCATGGGCTCACCTGAGAGATACTTGACCTGAGCCATGACATACAGCGGATCAAGCAGAGCTGGTGCTGCCTTCACAACAGGATTCAAGATCACAGTGACTTGTTTAAGAAGTGGAGACAGGATCTGGCCCGGTGACCGGGGCTGTGGGGACATGGGGGTCGGCTGTGCGGTTTGCCCCCTTCTAAGGGACTCCCGGAGCTCTCTGACAAACGCGCTCTCAGTCAAGGAACTTGACTTGATTCCACACATATTTGTTATCCACTCTGTACCATCTGGTGCTAGAGCATAAGCTCCAGAGAGTGGGGACTTTATTTTGTCCACTGTTCTGCCCCCAGTAACTAGCATGGTGTCTGGCACACGGTAGTGCACTCAATAAATATTTGCGGAGTGACTCATTACAAGGCATGAGGGTATATTGGGTGTGTGAGATATTCTCCTTGCCTACAAGGAATCCTGACTGGCTGGGAAAGCAGGACCAACAGGTAAAGGCTAACATATTTCTTAGAAGACTTCTGGAAAAAAAAGGAGCCCAGTTCTTCTGAAGATAAAGGCAAGGGCATGGGCCAGTGCCCCCCTCTGCCAAGGGAGGCCCCTGGGCCAGCATCCCTGATGTGACCTGGGGGCTTTGCGTGAGATGCGGGGCTTCTACCAAGTCAAGGTCTGCACTGGAACAACCCCCGCGTGATACGCGTGCTGCGCGAGCAAGTTCGAAAAGCGCTGGGCTCCCCAACCCCTTGGGGCTCAGAGCAGCCTAGTTAGTGATGGAGCCTCTGTCCAAACCTAGATTCCAGACCTCTGCCACGAAGATGCCCCTTTGTCTAACCTGCTTGGGGCAGAAGAACAGGTACTCCCTGGCGATGCAGACCAGGAAGAGGGGGTCCAGCTTTTCGAAGTACTCGGCGCCCAGGGGGAGGCCCTGCATGCTGGAGAAGTGCAGCTCCACAGCCTCCTTGAGCAGCGCCGTGGCCTCCTGCTCCCCCTTGTGCTTCCTGGACGCCAGAAGGGCTTGGAGGAACACCAGCACCTGCGGAGGCAGGCCCAGGGCTTGGAACCAGTGCCACATGGGCACAGTGGGTAGATGAGAGTGAAGTGGAAGTCCAGGCCATCTGGGCTGCTCTCTGCTGGAGGCTGGGGATGGGAGGAGGGCAGGGGGTACCCTCCTGGAGCAACCTGCGCCCCCAGAGAGCTCTGACCTCAGACTTCCCCAGGGACTGCTGCACCTCCTTCAGGAATTCCAGCTGGTGCTCAGCCTCCTGCAGGTGGCCGTCTAAGATCTGGCACCAGATGCTCCCTGGGAATGGGACAGAACACGATGAGCAAGCAGCCAGCTCAGAAGCAGAGCCAGCAGTCTGCAGGCCAAGGAGCGTGAGTGAGACAGTGGAAGGAAAGGTTTCAGGGCAGGAACCTCTTCCTCAGCTGAGGAGTGATACCTGCTCATTGTAAAGAATTTAAATCCCACGGCAATACAGAAAAACCTCCGTCGCTCACGCCCTGGCTTTAACCATGTCTCTCTCCAGAGGTAACCACCATTAACAATTTGGGGTATATTCCTTCAAACGTCTAAGCATTTATATGTCATTAATGTATACACATATTTTCCCCATTAGGTCACAGAAATCCACCCCATTCTCTTCAATGATGACATAATTTTCTTGTGGGTGGAACCAGATATTTAACTATTGCCCTATTGAAGGATGCCTCATTTCACATGTAGTTTATTTTCAATGTTCAGGCATTATAAGCCATGGTGAACATTTCTGTGTGTTCCAATTCCTGAAGTAGAATTGATAGGTCAAAGGGCATCGTATCTAAAATACTGATAGAGAAGGCCAACTTGTCCTCCAAAGATATTTGAATTAATATTACTGTCAAGAATTTGAAAGTGGCCTTTCCACACATCCTCGCAGACATGCTTTTTTCTCTTTGCCAGTCTAAAAGGTGAATAGTAACTCACTTTAATTCCCTTTTTTTTTTATTAGGGAGAATGAATATCTTTTCATGTATTTAATGGCCTTTTCTACTGTGAATTTCCTGTTCACAGCTTTTGCCTGTTTTCCTTTTGGGGTGATTTTTCTTTTCTTTATAGATTAAGATTATTAACCCTCTGTAGCAAACATTTTCTATTTGTTTGTCATATACCTTTTAATTATTTTTACAGTGTCTTTTGCCATCCATTAGGTTTACATTTTTACATAGTCAAATCAGTAAAATATTTTCCTTTACAGGTTTTGGGTTTGCGGTCATGCTTAGAATTCCCCAAGGAACCCAAGACCAATTTCATTTTTATGTTTAAATACTTAATTCATCTGGAATTTATTTTTGAGTATGGTGTGAAATGGGGACTTACCTTTATTTATTTTCTTAGTGGATAGCCGGGTAGCCAACCAAGAGCTCTTGAAACTCTATTGGTTTGAAATGTCTTTATCGATAATACCTATTTCTGTCCTATTTTATCTATTTGTTTATTCTGGCATTGGTTTCAAGCTGACTTAATTACTTTTGTTTTATGATATGTTTTGAATTTGGAAGGACAAATCCCTTCTGTTCTTACTATTCTTCTTTTATAGATATTTCTCGGCCATTTTGGTGTACTAATTCCTGGCTATCTTCCTAATCGTCATCTTGGTTTTCAATTATATACGTCTCTCTATTTGGCTCATCTATGGAATTTTTTACTTTGCAATCATATTTTTAATTTTCCACAACTCTTTTTTGTTCTCTGGGTTTTTTTTTTCATAGTAACATGTTGTTTCCTTATTGACATCATAACTACTGGGGCCGGCCAACTCTGGACGCACATGAGTGGGCTTGGCCTGGGCTGGAGTGCGTGGGCTGGACATCTGGCCAGTGGACTTCCCTCTGGCTGACCGACTGGGGCGCTCCCTTGAATGAGGAAGTGGGGAAGGACTCAGCCTGGTGGAGGAAGATTTTCGGAGATTTTGCCTATGTGCTGAGCAGCCAAGTCTTTTTGACCTTCATGTCCCTGTGATGGTGGGAGGTACTTGGGGGCTCTGCTCTGCTTCCTCCAGAGCCTCCTTGATTCCATCTCTGGTTGTCAATAATCCTCCTGTTATCTTGCTACTACCCGATGGCATGTTTTGCTCCTGACCGCTGGTGACCCTGAGCTTGTGTTTTCAATTTTTGTTTTCCCTGGAGCTCTCTGGGGAGAGCTGGTCTACTCAGTCTTCAACTGGCCCATCTCTGCCTATGCTGGCTGATGGGCTTCCAGACCTGCCTGGAGTTTCCACGCATTTGATGCTATCTGCTTTATATCTTCTAGAAATGTAAAGTCCTCAAAGTTTCTGGCCCACTGGGGGCAACTTTCCCTGTTTCTAGGGCTGTATGGCCTTTTAAAAACATCTTCCGTTGTTTTCATGGATTCAGGGATCGAGGAAGAGGCATGGTCTGAGGAGTCAGCATGACATGTTGAACTAGAAATCAAGACCAACCACTCTGACAATTCTGCTGCACCAGTGAGGAGCCTGGTGTGTAGGGAGAAGCAACTTGTCCCAAAAGACAGCTCCTCAGAACCAGGGCAAAAAGCAGGCCCGCCTTGAGCACTGGACCATATGGCTACCTCAACCCAAACTAAACATGGCTGGTTCAGAATTCACAAGAGACCATGGATTGGAGGGCTTTCAAAAAAATGTGTAGGGCCGGCCGAGTGGCTCAGCTGGTTAAGAGCTTGCTTGGGAGCGCCAGCTCTGAGCAGCAGGGCTAAGGTTCGGATCCCACATTGAGGGCCAGTGACGCTGCGCCCTCTACAGCTAAGATGATGAACAGCAGCTCGACCTGGAGCTGGGCTGCCGTGGGTCGCCGGTGATGGCGTAGGCTGCAGCAGGGCTGCAGTGGGCTGCCATGGGCTATGTGAGTGGCTGGCAGCCAGCGTGAGCAGCTGGTAGCCGGTGTGAGCTGCAGGGAGCCGCTGTGAGCGGCCGACCAATGACTGGCGACCGATTGCCTCACCCGGGAAGAGCGCAATGATCATACCAACATGGGCCAGTGAAGCAACGTCCTCCAAAACTAGACTGAAGAACAAAAACAGCAATTTGTCTACCTGTCTGTTCCCCTTCCCCAATTCCCCAATGCTGTTCCCCTCCCCCCAATTCTGCAATAAAAATCTTTTAAAAAAAATGTGTAAAATGAAAATTGTGCTCTGGAAAATTCATTTGACACTTACATAAAGGGGGTGGGGGGAAGCATCTGGATAGACAGGGAAGAACAATTCTCAAACATATTCATTCTGGTAGCCTTTCGCCTCAGGGGCCTGCATGGGGGGCAGGGGGTGGGGGGTGGTCTGCAGAGGTGAGGCTAGAAGCTTTGGGGCGGAGTGTGCTGGGACCAGGGCTGTCTCCAACACTGGCCTGTGGGGCCTGAGAAGAGGCAGGGCTGACCAAGCATAAGGGGCAAGCTGTCAGTCTTCCAGGGGGTCAGAGTGTGGACACTGGAGGTCTAATGTAGATCAGAGTAGCTTTGAACACACTTTTGAAAATTCCTGTTCCTCTTACTCCTGTGCTTGTAGATTCAAGGAAAGGCATCCTGTCACACAATGTACCCACAAACTCACACACCCTCTGGGGAGAATGCTTCCCCACACCTCTCGTCTGGACCCATGAAGGCCACCCTGCTTGGCTCCCAACACCTCTCCCCTCCCCCCCACACCCCCGCCTTGCCCAGCCTGCACAGACCTGTCAAGGCAGCTACACTGCTGTCATCCAGTTTCATGGCCTCCGAGTACCACAGAGACGCCTCCTTTACTTGGTCCTGCAGGATGAAGAGATAGCCCAGTTCTGTGGCCATGTGGGCATAGAGGGGCGTCGCCATGAAGGTGCGCTCGATGAAGCTACACACTAGCCGTAGAATCACCTGGTTCCTCCCACACTGCAAGGAACAGACACACGGGGATGCAGAGATCAGTTAGTCCAGCCTGTCTGAACAAGGCCATGTCAGAATTGGGGGACACTTTGACAGGACTAGGGGGGCTCAGGCGAGCCCAAGGGGTACCCTATGTCTAGGCAGCTGGGCCTCTGTGCTGTTCAGCTCCCAAAAAACCATTCCACTGGCCCTGAAAATCTTCCTCCAGCCACAGGCCTCCTGAGGGACCCATCCCTATTGGGCCACAATAATTGGTCCACCGAGTCACCAAGAGGTGTTTCAGAAACTGAAGCCGGGTGAGAGAAGCTCTTCACGTCCCATTGATGAGAAGTGGCTCTAAAGGCGGCAAGCAGCCATGTTCCCTGCCATCGGTGGAGAATGAGGCAGAGAGAATCAGACACAGACATGGAGGGAAAATGGTGTCCCTGGGGCATTCAATCCCACAGTCTGGTCCCTGAGCTGCCTCTGTTCTTATGGCAAGTCCTTCTAGTAAATCTTGCTTTGGGGCTAAAGGGTCTGACAGAGACAGGCGGTTTGGCAGCCTGGTCTGTTTGCACTTTGCCTGATGTCAGAGAGGCCTAGGCAGGCCAGCCTTCCAAGGTCACTTCCACAGAAAGACTATGGAAGTTGGGTGCCCAGCACTCTGAGGCCAGAGCTGGGCATGCCTCTGTTGTATAACAGCCATAATACCACCCTCTTTCCCCAAATAAGGCTCCTCCCACGCTACAAGTGCTGCCAGGCCTCATCTCCCTGAGCTTCTTAGCATCTCTGAGGGGCACTTGGGACAAGGATATGGAGCCCACATGATACAGGTATTGGCCAGAGGCAGGTAGGGGCCACAGGGTGTGGGCCACCAGGCCTGAGAGGCCAGGTTTGAGCCAGAGAGGGGAGGGGCAGGATACTCAGGGAGCTTCCAGGGGGTCATAGGACCCCCCTAAGGAACAGAGAGAGAAGCATGAGTTAAGAAACCAGGAAAGAACCTTCTTACCAGTCTGCTAACCACAAGAATTTTTTTAAGATGGAGGCTTGGATTTTGGGGCTCTCTTATCTCAAGCGCCTTAATCAGATTTCTAACGTGATCGGCAGCCTGCAGGGACAAAACATACAACGTCAAAGGCAATATGTCAAACAGGAGTTGGGCAGAGATTCTCAACCTTGGCTGCACATCACTATCAGCTGGGAGATCTTAAAAATCCCTGTGTCTGGGGGCCAGCCCCAGAGGTAAGATTTAACTGGACGTGTGTGTGTGTGTGTGTGGGGGGGGGGCAGGCATCGCAGCCCCCCAGGTGGAGTTTCCAGGACCATTATTCACCCAAGAGCTGACACGGCCCCTTTGATCATAAATTTGTGAAGAGCAGCTGCTCTTTCAAACCCACCCAGGCAGAGCCAAGGAGCCGGCTGTCACTGTGCCCACTGTGCTGCAGCGCACCAGGCTGGCAGCTGACCATCTGAGCCTCCTCTTCCTGCCATGACCCCTTAGAGACTCTTGATTCATCACATTCTCCACAAACGCAATGTATTTATTCAAAAGGCAAGGTTTGGGCTGAAAACACAAACTCTTTTTGAAAACAAGAACCTGTCTGGACATGGAGGTTTTCATTAAGCGTTCTAGGTATTTCTGACTGCATTTGAGGGCTATTTTGGGTTTCTTTGGAAAACCACAAGGCTTAGGTGCAAGTTTGGGGTCAGGTGCTGCCTGGTCAATATCTGAGCAATTCCAACCATTCCTTAAAAAAATGGCATTTCCCGAAAACTGAAACACAACCATGACTTCTATTGGTTAACACAGATCAAGTTATTATAGTGTACCAGGCACTGTTTGAAGTTCTCCCACTTGTCATTTCATTTGGTCCTTACAACCACCTTACGAAGTAGGTAGAATTATCTCCATTTTACAAGCGAGAATCCTGGGGTTTATGCAGGTGGAGACACCTGCCCAGGTGTACACAGGGAACACGTGGCAGAGCCAGAATCCACCTCACTGCCTGCCTTTAGAGCTGTATTGCACAAAGACCAAACTAGAGCAGACCTCCTTGGCAGGGAGTATGGGGCAGAGGTGGAGGAGGGAGCTGAGATCCAGGGAACACCCTCCAAAGCCATGTGGATGGAGGTGCTTTGAGGGGTTCCTCCTTGGCTATGTTTGTTTCAAGGCTCAACTTCTGAGTTTTGAAAGAACTTACTGTGGTCATGTTTCCTTCTCTTGCAAGCTCATGCATAGCTAGAATTTGGCAGGCATCAATATTGCTTTTGTCTTTTTCTAGGATTCTGAAATAGAAAGAGGAACCACGTGAACTGTGGGTATTTATAGGCACAACGGGGATGGTGTGGTGGCAACTTCTGGTCATTTTCTAATATCCATTCTCCCCTTCTTTTAATAAGAGAACTCCCAAACTTGCAGGGCACATGGCTACCTAGAATAAAGACCACATTTCCCAGCCTCCCTTGGTAGCTTAGGTGTGACCATGTGATTAAGTTCTGGCCAATAGGGTGAAAGTATCCAGTGTGCTATCCAGTGGTGCCTTCCATTTCTTCTCTTTCCTCCTTCCTGCTGGGTGGAATGTGGACCATGTGAGCAGCATCCTACTAGGTAGAGCAGGGAGACAGAAGGGGCGTGGGACCCTACAGAGTTAAGCTGCCATCCCAGCCCTGGACCACCACCCAGATTTTTCCCTGAAATAGAAATAACCTCTTATGTCACATATTAAATAACCTTATTTAAGTCACATATTTTGGGGCATCTTTGTGACAGAAGCCTATTCATATCCCAACTAACACAGACATGACTATGGTACCAGGGTCCGGGGGAGCCCGAGGGCCAGAGAAGTGCTTGCAGCTGTAAGATAGAAAGAGCACCTTGGTTTCTACCGTGTGTCACTGTAAAGATGCAATTTCTGATCATACTATGCAGTTTTCAAAATTCTCTTTCTTAATAGGAAACTATAAAGAAAACGATAGTTTTCAGTCTGGTCAGGGAATGGCCTGCTTAAAGAGGGTTACTCCAATTAACATATCAAATTCCAACATGATTAGGCATAGTCAACATTCAAGGAGTTCTAACCATTTATGATGATTCTAAAGGTATTGTGAACTTCATGCATTTTGAAATTAAAAAAAAACTTTTAAATGACTTAGGGACTAAAGAAGAATCAGAATGCGTATGAAAAAAATGCTTAGAACCAAATGGTACTAAAAACACTACACATAAAAATATGTAGATACTGCTAACATGGTACCTCAAGGGACAGTCTTAGACTTAAACGCTTATATTCTACAAGAAGATTGACAATGGATGAGCCAGGCATCCAACTCAAGAGTCAGAAATCAACAACAGCATAACTCCAAAGGAAGTATTTGGTAGGAAAATAATAAAGAGCGGAAATTAATAAATGAGAAAACAAATATATAACAGAGAGCATCAACAAAACTCAAAGCTGGTTCTTCCATAAGACTAATAAAAGAGACAAATTACTTTAATATCGATGAAGAAAAAAAAATAGAGAAGGGAAAAATAAGTGATATCAGGGATGACAAGAGAAACACAGCGAAAGGGAGCAGAGATATAGAAACAGTGGGAGAATTCTGTGACCACCACTAGCTGTGAAAAGCCTCCATGAGAAAAGGCATTGGGGTGCTGGGCTCAACCTGTGGGCACCAAACAGTCTCCTACACATGGGGGTGGCGGGGACTGGGTGAGGGTGGCCTCATACACCCACGGTGTGGCCCTCAGCCAGGTGCTTCCAGATAGCCTGTTGGCCCAGGGCTGAGCCTCCAAAGCAAGCTCTTGACCCAGCTTTTGCCAAGGACACTGGCCAGGTGTCACCAGAGAGAGAGACGCCGAGGGCCCACACAGGCATTGCACTTGTGGGCCCCTGTGCGCTGAGCAGGGTGGGATCACTTTCGATTTCTTATCAGCACCTCTCTCTGAGACTCAAGTTCCACGTGTCACCAGAGAAATTATCATCCCACCACAGGGAAGGAAGAGGTTTGTTTGTGTTTTGTTTTCTTCAGAAATGTGCTGTATATTACCACACAATTTAGTAATAATTCATAGCGATGACTTGGTCATTCAGAAAAAAAAATAGTCCATGAACTCTTTCTAGGGAGAAAATTAGTATTATACATTTCAGAATTACTTGATTTAAAACAAAGCATTAGAGCTGAAAGAAGCTTCACTTATCTAGAAAATTCCATCGTCAAAAAATGTCCATCGAACATCCCTCCCCATGAAGCTGTCTTTATTTCTAGTCACAATAAAAATGTGTTGGGCTCGCTGTACGCTTGGCATTTGCCTTCCACAAGTCCCGATAGCTCCTGAACTCTCCGGGGCCTTGCTGACGTGCCCGGCCTCAGACTAAAAGCCTGCTCTCAGTCACCAATGACCTTTCCCCCTAGAGTTTTTAAGTATATCGTACCCATAGTTTTTAAAAATTAAATAATACAGTAGTCCCTAGTCCCACGCTCCCTTCACCCTCCCTTACCCCCTACTCCTCAGAGGCAGCTGATTTTCACCCTGTAACTCTTGCTGCTTTGGGTTATTTGGTATTTCCCTCCATTTCGCCTCTAAACAAGATGCTTCTACCTCTTGACATGCGTACATCTTGATTTGTCCATCGTAGGCCACAGCTGCTGGCTTCCTGCCGTGCAGGTAGGTGTTGACTTTACATCAGTCCTCCCTTACCACCCTGTCCCGATAAGATCCTATCAGTCCTCACAACGCCTCTAGCGGCCAGTTTTACTTCTATGTCTTGTCCCATCCAATACAGTATCTCCCATCTCCCCACTTTGTAAGATGAGAGCGTATTAGCCGCAGGGCCGACCCTCACCCCTCACCTGAGTCCTATTTCTATCGTCTGCTCCCAGTCCTGCCGAGCCAAGAACAGCCGCATCTTCAGGACCAAGGCGGGCAGGAAGCCCCCCGAGGCCACCGTGATCTGGTTCACCACCTCCAGGGCCCCTGAGTAGTTCTGCTGCGTCATGTAGTATGTTGCCTGCCAAGAGCCCCAAGACAAGAGCCTCCGTCAGTGCCCATGAGGACAGGAGCAGAGCCTGACACATGGGCACTCAGAGTGACTGGTCCAGGTCCACAGCAGTCTTGGGTTCCAGGCTGGGTGAGGCAGGGGCTACAGGGAGACAGCTGGGCCGGAGCAAGGCCAGGGGAGGCCCGCCCCTAGGAGGAGAGGTGGGGTCGCTGGGCACTTTCCAGTTCCACAAACGGCACATCCATTTTCCTGAAATGGAGCCCAGGGCAGTAACTTGGTGTCAGTTAGGGTGTCTCTAGCGAGGCTGCAGTGCTTTCTCTCCATCAAGGCCCACCGAGCTGGAATTGTGGTCTCTGTGGGCCACACAGCCACCAGGTCCTCCCGGGTGATTCAGGTCACAGGTGCCCGAGGGGCAGAGGGCAACGCTCCTAAGAGACTTGAAACTGAACTCAGAAAAATCCGAAAGGTAGGCTTATGCTAGACCTACAGTAACTCTCCATGAAGAGGCTTATTAGAAACAAGGGGAGGGCTATTCTAAATAAAGATTTATGCATAAACATGTTCACTGCAGACTCTAAGAGCACAGCTGGAAACAATTTCAATCCAAACAACAGGAGATTGGGTTGACAAGTTATATTAGGTCCATACACTAGAGGGCTGGCTTTACGTAGACATTCAAAATGACATTTGCTGATGACAAAATCTTACATGAAGACAAAGAAACCAAATGATAGAGTGCACTATGATTACAACTATATTAAATGAACAACACTATCTCCGAGCCTGCAGTGGGGGCTGTGTGTGATCCCCTTCAGGACCAGAAGAGCTGGCAGCTGGTGGCTCTCAGAGGAGCCTCTCTCCCAGCATTGCCCATGGCTGAAGGGAGCTGCCTGGTGCCAGGTCACACCACTCCCTAGGGGCAGCCCACACCCAGCATCGTGTCAGTGAGCAGGGAAGTTAAGGGCCATCCCAGCTCCAGAATTCCAAGTAGCGCCCACTCAGCTTCTCCTTTCGCCCAGGTGTCTGCTTATTTTGATTTCCCCACAGATGTTGGTCCGAAGGGTGCTCCCGGAGAAAGCTTCTACCTGATAGCCGCATGGCTTCTGCTTCCCAGAAAACCAGCCTAAGGCACACCCTGAACCCATGCACAGAAAAAAGACTGGGAGGCACTGCCCTAAAACCTAACATGAGTAGTTTTAAGATGGTAGGGCTCGGGATGTCATTTTAATTCATCTTTTGACTTTTTTAGACTTCCGTTTGTTGAATGAGTACATCTTCATTTTATAAGAAAGATATATATAAATGGAAGAGAATAAATGGACAGTTTTTCTCTTTGAGTCAAGGAAGGTCACATAAGAAAAAAAGAACTTAATTTAAATTAAGAGCAGAAAATACAAATCATAAAACATACCTCCCTTCTCTTATGGCCGACTAAGTGAATTTAACAGGAGAGAAGAGAACGTGTGAAAGAAATTTGCAGAGAAAAGGGGCAGTAAGTGAACCCAAGCGGCAAACAGACAAAGCCTGAGAGAGGTGAGGAAGGACAGACCCTGAGAAAGAGGTCCCGAAGACCCCGTGCAGAATGAGACAGAAACACCAACGGAGCAGGAAGGAGGCGAGAGCCAGAGTGGGCCCTGGGCTGCTATGTGACCCTGACCTTCTCTGGGCCTCTGTTCCTCACCCACCAGGTGAGGGTCTCACCTGAGGTCACCTGGTGGGTTTCTGGCTTCAAAGGTCCAGTCAAGGGGACGCTTACACTCCGCTCCCCTCCCCACTGCCCACCTTTCCCATCAGCCCCAGCACATCTTGGGCATCCTGAGTCCCCTGTTCCAGGTACTTGATAGACTTCTTCACAGTGTGGGGCTTGTCTGAGGTAAGGTCCACCCAGCCTCTCAGCACATAGGCCTGAGAAAAGAACAAGATGAAAGATGAAGTCACGGTCCTGCTCAGCCTCCAGCCAGCCTGCCTCTCACACCTCATGGCCACCCTTTGCCACTCCACACTCTGAGGCCCTGCCAGGCACAACAGCTTGCAGATCCCGGGGCAGCCCTGCTCCCTCTCTCTGCCTATTGTTCCTTTGCCTGGAATGCCCTTCCCAGCACACACCTGCCCCAAACCAAATCCTTTCACCTGATTAACTACCACTAGTCTTTAAAACTCAGCTCAGGAGGCCTTGCGTGACCTTCCAGGCTGAGGCTGGGCCCTCCCTGTGACCCCGCAGCTCTCTTACCCCTTGCTTACGGTGGCATCTAGCCACTGCCTGGTTACTTTACACCTGAGTCAGGAGGCCCACACGGGGCCCCAGCGCAAGGCTACTCCTGCTGTCTGCACTCCTGGCCTGCTTGTGAAAGCGGGCATGCCCTCTGAGCTCAGGGGCCTTGCCCGCTCCCCTCCAGCCTTCACCCAGCCTCTCTTGGCAGATGCGAAGGCCAGGCTTGGGAGGGAAGATCGGAGCGGCCCCAGGAAGGCACTGCCCTGAAGCATCCCTCATGGCCTAGACTCGTGTTTCTCAACTCTTCCATATTGCCCTCAAGGAGCCTTTTTAGGCAGTTTTCCCTTAATCATTCCCTTCCCCTTTAAGACATTTTAACATCACAGACATACTGTCTATGTGTTAATAGGTATATCTGTTTTATACATAAACAGTGAGATTTTTTTTTTTTACCCCAGAACCAACTTTCACCCCCCTTTGGGGTGATCTCACCCCTGCTGAGAACGCATGGCCCAGACTGAGGCTTCAAATTCTGCCATGAGTGCAGACCCACCGCATGTGCCATCTGTGGTACATGAGATTCTACTGTCTGATCCACCACTGGTATTCAGCAGATCACTACAACGAGGACACGCAGGCCCGGTGTAGCCAGCTCATCTAGTTTTTCAAAAGAACCAGGAAATCTGGACTTTTACGTAAAACAATCTTCTCATTTCTAAATGTCAGCGCCAAGATTTTTAGAATGCATCGTGCAGGCCACAGGCCACCTATCTGCAGATTGGACTCCACACAAATGCCAGCGTGTACTGGGCTAACCCCTGAGACGACGCGGGTGGGAGCACCCGTGAGACCCAGGGTCTTGTCAGTGCCTGGGCGGGGCTCTCCCCCAGTCCCAGGGCCCTCCGCGGGAGTAAGGGCCACCCTATGGTGATGTGTCGGGATGCTACTTTCTTTGCCTCTTGCCCCAGAATGCGGGTGGTGAGTACCTCGCTGGAGGTGCTGGAGAGCCTCAGCACGCAGTCGATGTACTCCCTGGCCCTGTCATGGTGGCCCATGAGCCAGAGGAAAAGGCTGGCATAGTACAGGGCAGTCCCGCTGGCCTTCTTGCGGGTTTCCTTCAGGCTGCTCTGGAGCTCCTGAATCGCTTCTTGGTCTGTGAACCCCGGAGAGGAGGAGGAGGACGAGTCAGGGTGAGGAGGTTGGCCTGGTGCTGCAGGGAGAACTGAGGGCCCAGGGGGCTGTCTCTGGATGCTCTGGGGCTCCCCCAATACATGGAGCCAAACACACACCAGCCCGGGGCCTGGAAACCAGCAACGCTGGCCCCTGAGATACCACGGGAGCTGCCCAGGCCTGGACTTGGACTTGCTGTCTGAGATTTATGCAAAAAGACCACACCTGAATCCCCTACCTCAAGCCCACAATCCATTTGAGATGGAAATAGTAGTTTGTGGTCTCTTGGAATCTCTCTGGAGGAGTGGAGACTAGCAGTAGAATTATTTACATCAGCTTGATTTTGTCCAATGAGATCTTGGCAAAGGAGCGCAGGGCGTCTCCCCAACTCTTGGAATCTGGAAGGAGGACCCCTCCCACAGTCATGCTCTCTGTCTGTGGCTCCTACTCAACTGTGCCTGGGCAGGGCGTGATCTTTGAGGCCTCCAGGGAAAGGGGTGCAGCAGCCACTCCTCAGTGACTGACAGCAACTGCAGTCACCGGGGCACACACCTTCTGCAGCCCTTGAGGGTCTGTGTCTCTGGGGTGCGGCTCTCTTTCCCAGGTGGGGCCAGGCTCAGGTGAGCATGGCTGCACTCACCGATGGTTTCGCAGCTCTTGTGAGCATAAATGAGGGCCATGGTGGAGCACAGGGACACGTCTGGGTGACTTCGGATGCTCTCCAGGTTGCTGATGGCATCCTGGATGCGCTCTGCAAAGAGAGCCCACATGGTTATGCTTTTGGGGTCCAGGCCCAGAGGGTAGGAGGCTCCATGGCAGATACATGGGGGTCCTTTTCAGTGTTGCCCCAAGGCTTGACACCACCTAGCTTCACCCAGAATCAGAGGACTAACTGGTCCAAAAGGTCCCCAGTGGCCTGAGGTCCCTGAAGACTGAAGCTCCCTGAAAAAACTGCTGGCACTATGGTCCAGGCTGCCAGGGGCTGGAGGGCTTGGAGCCGAGGATGTACCTCTGAGTACTTGCAGGGATACTTGTGATGCTGAGATTTTTGACTGGGGGTCAGTTCTGAAGAAGGACCTCAAGGCATTTCCAGCTAGCTGCTCAAGAGCCACTGATTACATTTATCTCTCCACGTCCACGGATATTGGCTGTGGGCAGCCCAGCCGGCCCTGGGCCCAAGACCACTTTCTGAGTGTCAGTGAGTCAGCACCTGCATGGGCCCCACTCTTCTCCCTGCTCCTATGCTATACCTGCCAGTACTCACACCCACCACTTCCTCCTTTTCCTGCATTACTGGCTCTCAGCTTCCAAACCTGGGATTAGATCAATATGCATGCGGTCATCTCTCCACCCACTCATCGTCCAGATGGACAAACTGAGGAGCAGAGCAGTGACTGTGAGCTCTCTGAGATCTGAAAGTCCACTAGGTATGGACTGCATGGACTTCTGTAGATTAACCTGGGGATCTAGGCACTAAATGTTAAGACTGTTTCCACGACTGGGGTAGAAGTGGGCACCCAGGTGGAGCTAAGTGTTAGTGCTGGGCTAGTGTCCAGGTCAAGAGGCCAACACTGACGAGTCCTTACCTTCCCGGAAGACTCCATAGGCTTTAAAGAACTGCAGCACAGAGTCGTTGCTGAATTTTTCCAGGCCCACGGCTGCAGCCTGCTGCACATGGCGGAAGTACTTTTCCTGGCTGTAATAAATGATCCCAGCCTGTGGGAGGGAAGACACAGTTGCAATAGCCCTTCTCTGTCTCTGTTCTGACCGCTCATGCCCCCATTCCCTGCTCCTCCTCAGTTCTGTAAAGGGAAGACAAGGAGAACATTCCGGCCACATCGTGCTCTTCACCAGCCCCCGCAGCAGCTCCATGCGGTTTTCCCTGGGAAGGAATTGGGAGGTGTTTGTTTTGGAATTACCGCAGATTCTGGTTCAAATGTGATAGAGATTTCAACTCACGCTGTCTTAGGAAGCGACTAAGGCGAAAGAGAGAGGATCAATAATAAGAATGATTACACCAATAGTTGGTTACACGTTATTGTGGGCTAACCACCTGCTGGAAACTGTATCCAGGGCTTTATATCCATTATCTTCTGCCTTATCCTCTCCCTAACATTCCCGGTTAGGGGAAGTGAAGGCCATGGAGGCTGTGTCTTGACAAAGGTCATTCAGTAACAGGGGCTGAGATTTCAAAGTGAATCTCACTTCCCCTAAGGTTTGTGGGTGCTGGGGTTAGGGACAGATGTAGTTGGATTGTAACCAGGCTTGTGGGCCATATGTAAGGGCCCAGACACCATCCTAAGGGTAATAGGAAGCAGTTGGAATTGTTTTAAGCAGGGGGAGGGATATATTCAGATGTGTGTTTTTGCAAAAAACACGGGTTTGTGTGCGTGTGGGTGGGGTGTGTGTGGGGGTGGAGGGTTGGGAGGGGGGCTGCTGGTGAAGAGAGCTGAAGCAGAGAACCTATTGGGAGGGGAATTGTTGCAAGTGCCTGGGGGCGAGATGGTGGTGATCTTGGGCTAAGGGATAAAAAGAAGTGGGTGATCTCAGGAGACATGTAGGAGCTGACATTACTTGCAGATAGAATCGGGGATGGGAAACAGTTACGGCTGGGGGGATCAAATGGTGATGGAGGACACAGAAGAGGCACAGGCAGGGGAAGGGGACAGTGATGGCAAGATGATGGAGATGGGTTTTGGAGGCATTGGTTTAGGAGAGCTGGGGCACAGGCCTGGGTGAGGATGCTGACTTGGGGCTCAGGGTGCACAGAGAGCACCAGAGAGGATGCACTTCACCAGGGAGAGTGAGGCGACAAGGGGCCGGGACCGCCTGAAGCGGCCAAGGACAGCGAAAGGCGGGTAAAGGGGACAGCAGGAACTGTCAGAAGTGGCAGGAGAGCAGCAGGGCGCGGGGGTTACCGGGCTGGGGCGGAGAATCCCAAAGGGAGCGAGGTCGGGCAGGGCGTGGGCCACGCACCATAAGGGAGGAGTCATTGCTGCTCATCTCCGGGCTCTCGCGGCTCCGAGAGCCGGTCTGGTGGGGCCGCGCGAGGCTCGATTCCCGAGTCAGGGTCCTGGGCACGCCTCTCGCTGCCGGAAGCTGGAGGCGCGCGCGTCCTTGGAAACGGAGCTGCTGGCCGGTTGTTAAGGGCGTCAGAGTCAGGGGCGGGAGTAGCGAGGCGCCCACGTGACAAGGCGCTGGTAATCGAGCGCCGAGCGGGCTCGCCGGCGCTAGTGTGTGGCTGGGTCCGCCCCGCGGTTCTGGACCCTGGCGCGGGAGCCGGGCCTCTGCCATGGGGGTGGGCGCCAGCACCGAGCAGCCCGCGGGCGGCGCCGAGGGCTTCCACCTGCACGGGGTGAGTCGCCCCCGCGGCGCCGGTGACTTTAGCGGGGCACCCGCAGGGACGCCCCAGGAGCCCTGATCGCGGGCCCGAGGACCCTAGCGGCGGGGTCCTGGTCCTAATGCAGCCTCCGGGTGGAGAAGGGTGCCCCCTTCCCGGTGGGAACTGCCTGCGAGAGGCGACCCCGCTGCACCCCTGGCCCCCCACGGGTCTGCGGCCGCTGTCGGTCCGGCACCGGCCCAGTGCCAGCTGTTGAGGAAGCCGCAGCGTTTCCTGGTCGGGTCAGGCCGCCCCGGGGCGGCACTTTCCCCCGGTGAAGACGGTACCAGGTCCATTCGGGACGCATTTGTAGACTTCAGTCACATTTATTATCGCCAGCTGGGTGCAGAGCTCCGTGCTGGGCCTGGGGAGAAAGCCCGCAACTCGAAGGCTCCGCGGCGGTCCCTGCTCTTGGGTCCGGGGTAACCAAGTGGGCACCAGCCGCGGGGGCCCCGTCTGGCGCGCATCCCGCCAGTCGTGGGGTCGAAAAGGCTTCCCGGACTCAAGGACCAGTGCGAACGAGCCAGGGAAATAGGGTGAGGGAGAGTGCCGCCGAAGGCACGGGGACAGCGTCTGCAGCAGGGGTAGGGTCCTAGGGGGAAGCATCGCGGAGAGGAGCTGTAAGGCGCAGCTGAAAAGGCCCTCTCCGTGTCGCTACGAGGCGGTCTGCCTGGGTGAGCAGTCCTAGGGAACGTGGAGATGGACTGGGGTTCCTCGAGTCTGAAGGTGAGGAGAGGTGCTCGCAGCCAGATGGAGATTTGGGGGTCGAGAGTTGTCGAGGGAGGGACTGTAACGGAGCTGAGAGAGGCTGGACAGACTCTGGCTGGAGCGCAGGGGGAAGGACCCCTTTTCCCTTGTGCATCCTGGGAGGTTGCAGAGATGGATGCAAGCTCGTCAATTTGGTGCCTGGCTGTTGTGTGGTCTCTGTATTGTGATGGCGGGCTCCGTTATCAGCCCCCGCGAGGGGAGGGCGGGCGGGGTAAAGAAGGGGTTTTCTAAAACGAAAGCCACGTTGGCTTCAGGACCCAGAGGAGACAGGATTTGTGCTTGGTGATGGGCTGTCTCTGGTGGACATCCTGGTGAGGCACTGCACAGGAAGTGGACCGTGGAATGCACCCAACAGGGGAGCCTTCCAACAGGTTTGATGGAAGGCAAAGGGATTGAGGATATTGGCAAAAGGGAGGCTGGGGTGATGGTGGGGTGAAGACTGGAAGGGCCGTTGGAGAGTGACAGAGCGGAGAGGTCCAGGGATTGGAAGTCTTCATTCACAAAAACAGGTAGTTTTGAGCTACATACTTTGTGGCGGTGAACAGATAAAGCAGTGAACAGAAAAGACATTGTCCCTGTTCTCATGGGAGCTTATATTTGGATGCCGGCAGAGAGAGAAGGGAGCCAGACAAGAAACAGAAATATATGGTAGGTGGTGATCATTGCTAGGGAGAAAAATAAAGCAGAGTAAGGGGACACAGAGTGATGTGTGGGTGCTGTTTTGGAAAGGCCTCTGATCAAGTAACGTTTAAACAGACACTTCGGAAAGAAGGCGTGGACCATACAGATGTTTGGGGGAAGAGGGAGGCCCCGAGGAAGGGTTGTGCTCGTTGTGTTTGAGGAAAAGCACGGAGATGAGGCTGGTGTGCTGGGGTGGTACGGCCTGTGTAAGGAGGGTGGTGAAGGATGAGGCCCGACGGTGGGGGGCCTTGCATGTTGTCCCAAAGATTTTGGGTTTTGTTCTCAGATGTGGAGCCATTGGGAGGTTCTAAGTGGAGATGTGACATTATCTATTTGCATTTTTAAAATCTGAAGAACAAGTGTGCTGCCTTCTGTAAATACTGGTGTTCCCACTGCGTGCCAGGCACAATGGAGACGTCCCTGCCTTCACCGAACTTGGAGCAGTGGCGGGTTCACCCAGAAATGGCTGTTACAGGGCAGCAGTTAGGAGCAGGCTCTGGGTTGGGTTTCCTGAGGTCAGATTACTGAATAATGGAGTACTTTTCCTCCTCTGTAAATTGGGGTTAGTAAAAGGGTTACATGGCAGGTAAAGCAGGTGGTGCAGTCCCCTGGCAGCCAGACAACCCTTAGTGAGTGTAAGCTGCTGTCACTGTCAATCACATGAGGTTCTCTGACAGAGATTACAGTGGGGGAGGGTTCTGGGTTGTGGGGCTGGGTGTGATGGGAACCCCCAAGGGAGAGCCAGACAGAAGGCTGTGATTCTTATGGGAGTGGGGGTGCAGTGGGGGGACGGTAGGCAGGAACCATAGTGGGTGATGACAGGGCCCAGGGCAAGGGCAGTGCGTACAGCTTGACAGAGGACAAGGCCATAGGAGAGGGTAGGCAGAGGTACTGGGTGGGCTGGGAGAGGGCCGAGCCCGGAAATTAGGGGCCTGAGCCTCTGGACCTCCTTAGTGATGGAGGCAGCTGACACATAGTGTTGACAATGTTACCAGAGGGAGGTGGCGTGGCTTGGGAGTGGCCCTGAGCATGGAGGAGGAGCACCTCTCCCCAAGCTATCCTTGAATGAATTGTGCTACGGTTTTCAAAAGCCACCTTGTCCCTGCTTTCCCCTGAAGGGGTAGTGGACAGGGCTCAGAGCTCCCTGGTAGCAGGGCCTTGGAGCAGTTGCCCGGAGCCAGGCTAACTGGCTCGAGTGGTTTCCGAGTCCACTCTTTTTATTATTATTATTATTATTATTATTATTATTATTATTATTGTTTTATTTGGGAAAAGTGCCTCTTACAAAAGGGCAGCTGCAAAATACAGAGACCCATGTAACAATGACTTGCTTTCTCTTAAAGTGAAAGATAGTGGGATTCAAGGAATCAAAGCAGTAGATGGACAACTCAGGAGCAACTCCAAGTTATTTTCAGGAAATAGAGCAACAAAATGCAAAGCTAACAATTTCCAATCAAGGAATCCTTCTAACAACTTGTTTCGTGGACTACCTCCCCACCCCACCCCCCTTTAGTGGGAAGGAGTGACTTATTACTGAAAACCAAAGACCCCACTACAAAAACACCTTAGAACATAGTTTTGAATTACATCTGTCAACCTGCAAAGCTCAGGGATGGAATGAGGCAAACACCCACAAAAACGAACACAAAACTGCAATAGCAAAACCCCTCAGGAGGATGAAGGTTTGTCAGAAAGTGCCTGGATGTGACAGCTAGGAGATCATTCAACATTAAATACAACTGTGTGTCCAAGACCCAGTTTGTTTTAATATATGGGATAACCAGACAGTTTTCACCTCTACGGCTAAGCCCATTTCTCTATTTATATAGACAGACAGTGCTAGCACTGCTCTAGTAACAGCTGCCAACATACTGCTTTGTCCTGGAAGGTCTATTTGCCACACTAGGCTGAAACGACTAAACCACGGTTTTCCACTAAGGCTACGAACGCAGCACCTATGCAGAAATGAGCTTATCACACACTCACACTCACACAAGCCACGTCTATCAGCCCTGTGTGTCAACGTCCAGCTCTGCATATGTCTTTTATGCCACTCTATCTTTTATGTGTGTTCTTTCACAATATTCCTATCACACTAAATACAGTAAAAATCTCAGCACATTCACATCTGGTTACCCAGTAGTATTACTCGTGTGCAATTAAACAAGAGACCAAAACCACAGAACAAGAGCACAGGGTGGGGGTTACAGTCTGAGCCCACTCTTACTGGAAGCCATGGCAGCTTCTGGGGGTGGCAATCAGGGGCTCAAACGGTGATGCTGCCAGGAGGGACTCCTGATTCCAGGGGCAAATTGACCTTGATCCGAAGGCTCAGCGGTGAACTCGCTCTCCTTCAGCTTGGGGAATCCAGGATTGGAGGGGCTGCTGGGTGGCAGAAGCCACAGAGTCCTCCCCTGTCCAGAACCTGAGGCCACATGAGCCCTTTCTCTCTGGGCTGGGGCCTGGCCATGCTTGTCCAGCAGGGCATCAAGCGCTCACAGCCAAAGGCCTGAGGGTGTGGGGCCCACCTTCAGGGTTGGGACCTGGGGATAAAGGCTGCATTGTTGGAGCAAGGCTCTGTAAATGGGGCCTTTGAGATGGATTTCTATCCTAGAGGCAAGGCCTGGCTGTTGTGCTTTTGGAGGCAGCAGTGAGTTCAGGAGTTCAGGGCAGGGCAGGGAATGGATCTGAAGGAGATGGCCCACAAGGGAGTGGAGGCTAGGTTGTAAGGCGGGGACGCCACACTGCTCACCAGGCTCCCTGCTTTAGGCCCCTTCCTGCCCCTGGAGCGTGCTGTCCTCAGCCACCATTCCTCAGCAGCTCCCACTGCCTGCTGGACTGACCTCGGATCTGTCACCACAGGGTCTGGGGTCCTCTGGGGTCTAGCCACAGGCTGCCTTCCCTACTGCCTCTTTCTGGCTCCATCTATCCTGGGGCCTGCCTGCTTGCACTGTGTGTCGGGCCCTCCCTTCTTGTCCATAGTTAAACCTTTCTGGGAAACCTTCCTGGCTTTCCCCATAGGCCTGTGCCACCTGCTCTCGATGTGGCCGACCGGTAGCCCCCAGGGCTGACGGGGCTCTCCTGTGAGGCATCTCTGGAAGCATGACCTGTGGATCATGATCAGGAAAGAGCCCTTTTCCTAAAGAGGAAAATGTGTGCCCAGGAAGGTAGTGAGAGAGAATGGAGTCGACCTGGACAATGCCCACATGTGGCTTCTCCAGAACAGTTCATGCCAGCGCATGTGTCCTTGTCAGGACACAGGGAGGGAGTGGTGATGGTCTGTGAAATTGAGGGTGGGGGCTTCTTGGAGGTCACGGGGCTGGCGCAGTGACTGGCCTCTGCTTGGAACAGGTGCAGGAGAACTCCCCAGCCCAGCAGGCGGGCCTGGAGCCCTACTTTGACTTCATCATCACCATCGGGCACTCGCGGCTGGTGAGCTCCCGCAGCCTGCATCGCTTTGCTGCGTGCGTGCGTGCGTGTGTGTGTGTGTGTGTGTGTGTGTGTGTGTCCTTCTGCCCCACAGGAGGCCCCAGCCTGGTTCCTGCTTCCCATTTCTTCTGGAGGGAGGCCTAGCTCCATCTCCCCTTCTTCCAGGGCTACATTAGCCTGACTGGGGCCCTGCCCGATTCTCAGCTCCTTAGCTCTCTGGGTGGACAGAAGGCAGATGGACTCTTGGCAGTGGCCACAAGGCCTCAGGGGCCCGTCCTTGGGGCATGAGAAATATGAGGGCTCCGGTCAAGGGCAGCTCAGAGTGAGGCAGCGCCGCACTGCTCTGGACCCAGGAGGCTCTTCGCTTGCTTTGTTNTGGTTATCCATTTGTAGAAAGTTAGCATCCTACTTCACACCAAACAGTATAAATTCTAACAGATTAAAGATCTAGACATAAGCAATTATCATAAACATACTAGAGGAGAATACAGAACATTTTTGCTACTTTGGAGTGGGACATACCTAAGCAAGACATGAAACTCAGAGCCATAAAGATTCAATCGGGTTATATAAAAAGTAAAACTTTTCTGCCTGACAAAAAGACACCATGAACAAAGTAAAAATTCAATTGAGAAGCATGATAATAGACAAAGGGTTAATATTCAACGTGAAAAACTCCTACAAATTAGTAAGAAAGACAAAGAGATCAAAAGAGACATGAGTAAAGAATACAAACAGGCAATTCACAGGAGAAATACAAATGGCCAATATGAAAAGATGCTGAACCTCACTACAATTAAAAAAAAAAACCAAACAAAACATATTAAAACAATGGGATAATATTAGCCTATCTTTTAACAAAGATTAAAAGTACCCAGCATTGGCAAGGGTATGGGGAAATGGGCACTCATACACTGTTGGTGAGCGTGTAAACTGGTACAGCCTTTGTGGAGGGCAATTTGGCAATATCTATCAAAATTTAAAATGTGCATACCCTTTGATCCAGCAATTCCACTTCTAGGAATTTATCCTAAAAAGTACACAAAGATATATGTACAAGGATGTTCACTGAAGCATTGTTTGTAATAGAAAACATTGGAAACAGCCTAATCGTCCATTAATAGGGGACTAGTTAAGTAAATCACGGTATATTTACACAATGGAATACTATACAGTCATTAAAACAGAATGACCCATATGTGGAGACACGAAAAGATGGTCAAGATATATTTTTAAATGAAAAAAACAAAAGTTGCAGAACAGTATCTGTAATAGAGCTTATACAAAATAAAATGAAATATATATATGTATACACATACAGATAATATATGCCTATGTATGCATGGAAAAAAGTACTAAAGACTATGCACTAAGCTATTAACAGTATTACCTCTGGGGAGAAGGACAGAGAGTGAATGGAAGAGAAGGAGTAATTGAGAAAGGAATGGGCATTTCACTGTATTCATTTATTTTCTTTAATAAGCATATATTATTTTATAATTAAAAAACACACAAAGATGTAAACAGGTAAATAAATAATTACCAATACTACTTCTGCAACTTTGGAACTTCAGGGAAGCAAGAAAGAATTCCACTTGGCAGCCTAGCTTTTATTAACGTTTATAGTTATACAGTCTAAAGCAGTTCTCAATTTCCTTCATGATTTGGAAAAAATAAAAGGGCCAAGTGGGCGTGGAGGACACTTACATCCACAGTGATGTCAATTACCCATTGCGGCACCGTCTCGTTGAGAAGCATCGACTCAGTCTCACCTCCGGAATCTCGGCAGAGCAGCCTACACATACCCATCAGGTAATAAGTGACACAGCACAGACAAAATCACCGTTTCAAACATTAGACGGAGGGACCCTTACACAGTTCCTTGAGGACGACCCCCACTTAGCTGAGGACATAAAGTGACTCACTCAGCTAAGAGGGAGAGCAGGCCCTAAAACTCAGGTTTCCAGGTCCCAAGGCCAGGCATCCACGACAGCTGCCTCTCTGAGTCCTTGGGTGACGCAAGGAGCCCGGGTGCAGGCACAACACGCAGGAAAGGTCCCCTGCCAGTGCTCCAGTGCATGGCACATGCCTCCACACATAATAGGGCTCAGGGTATTTTGGGTAGCCACACTCTCAGGACACGACCATAAAGGGCGAGAAGTCTGGACTCAAGGACAAGACAAGTGTTCTTCTTACTCTTGGCCCTGCGGAACTCCAGTGAGCTCTCCCCACGGCTCCCCTGGGGCCTTGCTTGCACCGCGGAGGGCAAGCCAGTCTGCTGCTTCCCTGCAGGGCCTCCCGAAGGGCTGCCTCGCACCTCAGATGGGGCCATGGTTGGGCACACGAGTTCCCAGGAGCAGCCCAGGGCATCTTGCCTGACCCCGCTTGAGGGAAGTTACCTACTCTGATGCTGTCCTGTGGGCAGGGACTTCTGGTGATGCCATCTGTTCCCTGACCCCGGCAGTCATGCTGGGTAAGTGAGAGAAAGTGAGAGTTTCCTGCAGAAACCACTAGAGAAGCTGCCTCGAGGCAAAGGTGCGACCTCATTTCTACACTAGAGGCTCAGCTCTCCATCAGGAAGTGGTCTAATAGGACCAGACACTTAACTATCTCATGGAGATGGAAAAGCTTCCAAATCCCTGACACCCCCAGAAATCAGTAATGAACAATTTATGACATCTATTTGAATCATCACTTCTTAGCCAATGGGGTGCTTTGGGAGGCAGGGCCTCCAGCCCTCCGTACCCATACCTGAACAGTGTGCGACCGCCAGCTTCACCAAAGATCACAGGGGTGTGGGGGGGCACTTGAAAATAGCCATTGCCCTTCTGCACTCGGTTCTCCTGCTCCCCATTTACTGGGAAAAGATGCAGATGGTGTCAGATGCAGAGTTAGTGCTAACAGCATAGATTCTAAACATTTTGTTTACAAAGGCTTCAAACACTGTAAGATTTGTAAAGTCAAAAGTCCTATAAGTCAGCCAGGGTCAGAAATAAAGGCAGAAAATGAACCAAAAAGCTAAATTCCTAAAAACAAGAAATATGGCAACTCGTGATGTACCTCATGAGAAATGACTGCAGTTTAGGGGGTTTTAATAGAAGAGATTAATGACTGAGATTGGAAACAAAAACAAAACCATCGACTTGAGCCACAGAGAAACCTAGGACACCCTGTTCATAAATAGCGATNCTTCTGCTTGGTCACTGTGGCTTGCCAGGAGGCAGCAGGGTACAGCCACGATCAGTTGTGACGATGGGGTGAGGCAGGAAGGGGTTGGTGTGGAGTGTTCGCCTAATCGCTTTGTAGAGGTGGCCTTGATTCTTCCTGCACAGCTCAGCCAGCTCTCCCTATACTGGAAGGCATGCCGCCCCCGCAAGTCCTGGGACCCCCGAAGCCCCAGTAACTGTCTCTTCTGTCATGCGCCCTCATCGCTGTGCTGCACTGCACAGCTGGCTCAGGCTGACTGACATGTGCCAGTCACAGACAGAGGCAGTCAACTTGCCCACCTTCCCTTGGGGAGGAGGGCTGAGAATTCTAGGCCCTTCAGCAGAGGCTCACCTGTTCTTGGACCATGATGTTTCTTCTTACCCACGCCTACACCCCACAGCCCTAGTAGCCCCAATGGTGACTCCTATCAGCTCCCCAACTTATACAACAATCTCTTCTACACATACAAGGTACCCAGCCCAGCCCCAGTGGTGAATAAGTCATAATTTAAGTTCACCATCCTAAGCAGACTCTCAAAGCCAGTCCTGAGTGGTTCTCTTTCCACACAGCTCCCATCACATGGGGGAGCAAGGCGCCTGGACAGGAGTAGGTGAGGGCCTTTCTGTTCTTTCCCATAGTATTGGGGTGGGGGGACCTGTTCCTCCCACCACCACGTGCCTTGGGAGGCTAAGGGTGGGCTGGGGCTTCTGCTCTGCCCCATTCCTGCAGGGAGAGGGCGCCACCCAGGGACAGCCTTCCATCACCTGAAGTCCTGCCTTCTAGAGCCCCTCACCTTCCCATACTCCTTGCTGATTGTCAGGAAAGCTGCCTCTGGCCTTGTCTTCTCACCTCTGTCCCACCTGAAGTCCTTCGTTTGCTGCTTGATTTGTAACGTCTCATTGACAAGGAAATCTAGAGCGGTTAGGCCCATAGGACAAGGACTATCTGATCTGCGGGGCACAGACCAAGTATGTGGAAGGAGGGCCCCAAATCAGTGAACACTTGACGTTTCTAGCACTGTGACTGCATTTAAAGCAAGCCCTTGTCAAGCCCACCAGCGCAGCTGATACGCCTGCAAAACAGGGAGGCCTTGTGTCCAAAGCCAGTGCTGGAGCCTGGTTCCTGGGTGGTCTGGGAGCCCCGCGTCCATCTGCAGGAATCCAGGAAGTAGGGCCACTTCCGTGAACTGTAGCCTGGCCGTCTGACTCAAAGTCACCTCACCCAAGGTTCTGGTTCTTCCCAACTTTTACATACTCCCCTCCCTAATTTGGGGGATACAATGGGTATTAATGCTAATTATTTCCAGGGTAAACATGAAACCAGAGGTTTCTTAATTTCTCTGTAATCTGCTATGAAGGAAAATGACAAGTGAAAAAAATAAATGTGTACTACACTTTGGAATCTTTTAACTAAAGCTTTTATTCTATACAACTGTGAAATACAGATTTTTGCCCTTTTGGCATTGCAGACTGTCCAATTTTCTGAAAATGATTACTGGTTTGACTGGAAGGCAAAAAAATACAACCATGCTGGGGGTCAGATCTAGGACCGGAAGGGAGCGTGGCCACCCCTCGAGGCTCGGCACGCAGGGCAGAATGGCCCAACAAAACCCATTCCTTTAGCCCGAGGGCCCCTCATGCAAACACAACTGAGGGCTGGTAAATGAGGTTTTTTTCCTTTTACTTTTTTTGACATTAATTCACAACCATTTCTAAAAAATGTGCACCAAAAGCACACTGTGGTATCCAACAGATTGAAAGGATTTTTTAAAAAAAGAAGCCAGTTGCTCTCTGCGTAAGGGAGAAAGACCGTGGAGACGTGGCCTGTCTCTGCCGCTTCTTCAAGGAGCCAGAGGCAGAGACCTGTCCACGTTCTGAGGGGGGCTGACCAGCAGTGAGAGAACGCTGTCTCTCCAGTTGTGCGATCAGAATGTCTCAAATAGTAAGGTCTGGACCCAGACCCGTCAGCTGCCTCTAGCTGAACCTGTGAAGATGTAGAAAAGAAAAAAACCTTCCCCACGCCCTCCCCAGTCCCTGCTGCTGTGGGGACAGGCCACACAAGCTGGGGAGGCACCTGGACTGGAATAAACTGCCCTCTGAAGGCACTTGTGCTTCTGGCTTCATGCAGGAGGCTTGTGTCATGTAGTCTGATGGGGGTGGACCACTGTTCTAGTCTGAATACAAATGACCTTGGGGAGGATCCAAAGTGTGTTTTTCTGCCAACAGTTGAAGTGTTTATGTTCTGTACAAGATCCAAATGATTCTATGAAAGCTTTAGATTGTTAGAAAGAGCAGGGAAAAGAAATCTGGATACAGGCACAACAACAAAACCCTGCATAGAAAACCCTGGGAAAACAAGGTTTTACCTCCAGGATGGGAATATCAAATTAACTCACCATGATATCCGTTTACTCTGACACCATGAGTTTTAGGTAGCATTTAAATGAAATTAAAATTGCATCATGATCTTAAGTTTTGATGGTGACATGCTGCTCACCCTGAGCAAGAGCCTGTGGTGTCACCTAGCTCTGCCCGTAAATGAAACGACACAGTGGAGGGAGGACTAAAACCGCTGCACCTCCCTGTGGCTGCCGCATGGTCTGGGTGCAGGGGTCACGGAGGCCCTATTCTGGTCTGGCAGTCCCAGTGCTATGATCCAGCCCCTGGAATTTCAACAGCTCTTCCACAAGAACACATCTGAGATGCAATATTAAAAACGAGCCCAATAATAATCATTTATTATGAAATGGGCTGGCTCTCGAATTGTGCAACAGCAAGTTCCTGTTAAAAATAATTGTCTTAAATGATGAAAACAAATTTTTTTTTTAATGACAAACTTGGAAAAAGCCTTCAAAGGTACTGCATGAATGGAATGTACTGTCTTAGAAAAGCTACAGAGCATGTATTTGAAGTTGAAACACGGTGACAGATGTGGCCCTACCGATGTGTCCCTAACAAGTGCTAACGAAGACAAGGTCCTTTGAAATAAAAGGAGGAAGTCGAGTCTACGCTGGCCTGTCGTCAGCTCTCTGTACACCTCACAAGACACAGTCTGCTGGGGGCTCTTCCACGCTCACTCTGCCTCCCTGGGGACAGCGTAATCTACACAAGGAGACTGGTTTCTATATTACATCTCGAGGAGTCACTTCAATTGAAAGAGAAACTCGGTCCATACCAAATCGGCCGTTGGAAGTCTTGCTCCCGCTGGGGCTCAGTGGGCGTCCTAGGACTACTCTTGGGGCCATAGAGGAAGGTCAGGAAATGAATACCCAGGAGCGTTCGTTCGCCCACCCTTCACGTGGACTTCTGCCGGTAATGGAGGGTGAGGTCCCCACCGCTCTTCCATATGAAGTGTTTCACTGTTCGAAGGTCCATATTCGGATCTAAAACCTGAATAGCAAATAATAAAAGACGTCAAAGCCTCTAACAGCTAAGGCCTTTATTGTTAACTCAGGGACTCTCATCAGGTGACGCAGCCTGTCCTGTCCCCCGCCATGCCTGGTGGCCCGCTCTTGCTGTCAAAGTTGCCACGCATGCAGGCTCGGACTTGGGCACAGTGCGATGGGCAGCTTGTGTGGCTGGGCCAGAGCACCACCTTAATCTATTCCTCTGAAAAAAGGCCTTGAGTGCACCCTGATTTAAAGCTGCTCCACCCACCACCTCTTCAAATACTAAACGCAGCCACCGCCGCTCTGCAGGCCAGATGATCCTGTGTCTTCTTCTTGGTAGGGGTCTCACGAATAGGTGGGAGACACCCAGGGCTCCTTAGGAGTCTCTCTCAAAGCAGAAGCCCCGAAGGCACAGACTTGGGAACCACAGTCACACCACATTACGTAACTTTCTGAGCACAAGCCCTGGAAAAATGGGGCTGTAGTCCACCAGTCCACTTACCTGGTCCTGGCACAAAAGTTCAATTTTCTCCTCTGCCAACACAGCAATATCCTCTTCTTTTTCCTGTTCCCCTGGTTTTTCATTATTAGAAGAGCTGGTGGTTTGAGACTCATTATCCAAGTTGATGATCTTCTCATAAACATGTTCCATTACTTTCCGGACTTGGAGCATGTCACTAGCAGAGAGTCTATCTCTGTAAAAAGCAAGGTCAGATTTGTGACATCAGGAAATCACTGGACATACCTCTAGTCTTGGTGTTAACACTTGATAAAGAGGAAAACATACCACAGAAACATACACCAATAAAAGCTTTTAGTCACTGTCTTTATCCGTTTTCAGGATTGCCAACATTTTCTATAATGTCCTTTTAAGACACGAATTATGTGCAACTAATTAATTAAACACATGCTCTTAAACTTACATAAAGAATAACTTCCTTGGTTTCATTCCCTTAAAGGCTGTGCCAGAGCATGGGCAAACCAAACGCTCCCGTGAGGGAAGGTAGCCCCGGGGCTTACCAGGCGCCGCACTCTCACTGCTGCTTCCTCGCTACAGCTGAGACCTGGAGTCTCACCTCCTGCCTGAACTCCAAACCCACAAACCCAACAGCTGGCTGGGTATTCCTCAGCTGCTGTTCCACAGGCATCTAAAACTGCATGTCCACAACTAGATTCATCCACTCCCTCACCCCTCAAACTACTTCTCCTGTATCTCTGACGTCAGTTAATAATGGTGAAGCCAAGTAGCTCAGGCTCTAACTCTGAAAGCCATCTTGAGCTTAGGGTCCTTCAATCTAGCTGAAGTGACATCTAGGACGCACATGCATGTGTGTGTGTGTGTGAAGCAAATGTTTAGCAATGTGTTGGGAATTACTGAAGCTGACGGAGTAACGGGGGTTCCTTCTCCTATTCTCCTTTTTTGGTATATGGTTGGAAATTGCCCTAACAAAAGGTTTTAAAGCCTTATTGAGCTTATTTGCTAGGATGTACATGAAACCTCTTCATTTCTTCGCCTTCCTGCCTAGTATTTTCCCGCCACCCCTACCTCTTATGCTTGGCTACACAGGTCCTCGCTAATTTCTAATATTTTTCCTATGCTCCTACTTCCACACCCCTGATCAAGCCACTTCCTGGACCTGGAATCTCTCTTTTGAAGTTCTATCCATCCTTACCTGTCCAGCTCAAATTCCATGTCCTCTGAGAAGCCTTTCTGGAAAACTCTAGCCAAGAATTCTTTTCTTTCCTGTACTTTCATCCTTCATTAAGTATCTATAAAAGCAGTTATCATACACAGAACTGTGTCCTCAACTATGAATTACGCCAAGAGACAAAGATCTATGTCTTATTTATTTTTGAACATCTGAGGCTTACGACACAGTAGGCACTTGGTAAACGGTTAAACTAGATAAACTTTCAATATTATAAAACTAGCTTTAGATCCAGTACTTGCCTCCTTTGCTATAAAAGCAATCATAAAGAATAAAAAACCTCTCTGGTAATTAATTAGATCAAAGCATCATATGACATTACATTTACTTACTTTTTTAAGGTTTTTGCTCCTGAAGATGCATGAGGTTGGAGGTAGAAAGGAATTTTGTTGAATTTGGGCATATTTTTCTGAAATATTAAAAGTAAAAAAAATATAATAGTTTCTATTAGCTGATAAATTAAAATGATGTCAACAGGAAAACATGATTTACAAATTAACAGTTATTTTACAATTAAAGGTCACTTTCAATGAAATTTATAGTAAACTATCAAATTATCTAAGTCAGCCTTAGACAAAATGTATCAGAAAGGTGTAATGTTTAGTTTTGTAATAAAAGATAATATGTAATATCAGAGGCAATGTGAATTTGTACGCATGGCTCTTTTCAAATAACAATTTAAGGTATTAAAGGGAAACAAATTTTATTTTTAATTATTTAAGCCATATACACCAAAATCTCAATTCTACATTCAAAGAGTAGGGCTGATACCTAAAGGCCCAAACAAAAAATGAAGTGTCTTGAAAAAAACCCACAACATTCACCTTTGAGCAAAATCACACGCTCTAGGCTGGGGAGGCCCGTCATCCATCAGGCCCTCCCCACTTTCTTTCCCTGTGACATCACAGGGAGGCCTGAGGCTTTAAACAAAGAGTGCAAACTTCAGCCAACCACCTAGATGTCTACTGTGAAGGAAACCACATACTTAGATGAAGGACAAAATTAACTGGCCATCTTTTCTCTGGGTATTAATCCCCTCCGAGCCTCCATGTCATATCCTGTCTGGATGTCTCCTCTCAGGAATAAGCCACAGGCCTAAAGTCAGCAATGCACCCCCGGTGAGGTTCACACACAAAGGAAGGAGTGGTTTAATGGGNACCCCACCACCTGGACCCACCCCCCAGGATTCTCCTGCCCCTCCTGGCCCACAGATGGGTTCCAGACAGAGTGACTACATGGAGGTATGTGGGGAGCACCTGTAAGCCGGGGAAAGAGGGCGTTTCATGTTGGCAGAGGGGCTTGCCGACTGGGGAGAGAGAACTCTGGAAGCGGCCCCCACAAGGGGCCTGTCTGTGGAGCCCTTGGGAGGCCCATCTGCTTCTAGGGCCCAGTGGGAGCAGATGGGCCCATTCTGGGACAGTGAAACCCACTTTGGTTCTCCTGCCACTCAGGCCTGGAGGTGAGGGCAGCGGCAAGGCAGTGGTTGTCATTTTCATTTCAGGAGTGGGAAACTGAGGCTCAGAGGTGGGCAGAGCCTTGTTCCGTGCCTCAGTGCGTGTGGTCAAGGTGGGCCGGGGCTGGGCACCCAGAGCTCCAGTTGGGCTGGTTGTATGGCCAAGTCTCAGGGGAGCGCTGGTGTAACCGTCACGGCTGCTGAGGTCACCTGAGTGCCTTGGGCACTGGGCTGGTGCCTGGGGCTGTACCGGGCCACACGAGGATTGCCGTCCCCAGGCACGCTGGAATTCAAGGAAGACCTCTTCCTGTGGGTCACTGATGGGGCCCGGCTGGGTGGGCACCTGGGCCCCCTCTCTGTGTCGGCACCGCAGGGGAGGCCAGCCAGGCCCCGCAGCCTGACTCCACACGACATGTAGAGGAAGGGGCAGGTCACCAAGGCTGTTTGCTCCTTTAGGCAGAGCAGTGTCCCCTCTTCCCTGGCCCCCGTAGGCCCTGCTGCAGGCACCTGGCCCCTCCATGGAGGGACAGTTTCTCGAACCTGCGAGTCCCAGCCACGGTGCGCCACGTTCCATGGAGCCTCCGCCCCCAGTGCAGCGAGTCATGGATCCAGGTACTGGGTGGGCCCTGGAGAGGAGGCTGAGGAACCGCGGCCCTGGTGCTGCAGTGCGCCTTCGGCTCAGGGCTGGACTTGGCGGCAGTGCCAAAACTTCCTCAGACCTGCTGAGCCCTACTAGCTCATATCCGCCAAGATGGCTGCAGGTGACCCGCTCCAGGGTGGATGGGGAGACTGCAGTCCAGAGAAGGCAAGTGGCCTACTCAAGGTCACACAGCAAATTGGGGACAGAGCAGGGTCTGGGCCCACTGCCACTGTGCTACTCCCATGATGCCCAATGCCAGGCCCCCTTTTTTCCTCAGAAACAGGGTTGGGTGGGAGGCCTCACCACAGGCTGAGGTTAGTCTCAGGTTGGGCCAGATACCCCCGGAACGGGGCAGAGTGAGCCCAGGGTCCCGGCCTTCAGCAGTCAGGGCTCTGTGCTGGCAAAGAGCTGTGCTCCTTTCCCTAGGCTTCCTGGATGTGTCCGGCATCTCCGTCTTGGACAGCAGCAATGCCAGCGTCTGGCCCAGCCTGCCCTCTTCCACAGAGCTGACCTCCTCAGCTATCTCAGCCTCAGTGCTGGAAGACGTCTGCTCTAGCAGCGGTTCTCAGGAGCGTGGCGGTGAGTGGCTGGCACCTTGTGAAGCCTTCTGGGAAGGGTTGTTGGGAAGCCTGCCCCCAGTTTCTCAGCCGGTTTAGAGGCTGGCCTTTGGGAGGAATACAGCCACATCAAGGCCTGTGTACACTAGATCTCCCATTCCCCACCAACGCCTGGGGTGGGATTTGGGAACCATGGGGTTAGCGCCCTAGGCCACACTGCCCCAGGTTCTGCAGGTCTCCTCAGCCCCACCCTGTGTTTCAGGTGAGGCCACGTGGTCTGGATCAGAGTTTGAGGTCTCCTTCCCGGACAGCCCAGGCGCCCAGGCCCAGCCGGACCACCTACCGCAGCTGACCCTTCCCGACAGCCTCACCTCTGCGGCCTCACCAGAAGACGGGCTGTCTGCCGAGCTGCTGGAGGCTCAGGCTGAGGAGGAGCCGGCCGGCACACACAGTGCAGATGTCGGGGCCGAGGCCGGGGCTGCAGAGGCAGCCAGCGAGGCCCAGCTCTCCACCTCCGAATAACACCCTGGGCGGGGACAAGGCCCCTGAGGGCCTTTCGTGAGGCCCAGATGTGGGGAGGCAGCTCAGGCCAGGCGACCGGGCCCAGCCCCTTGCCTGATCCCAGCCCAGTGTGTTCAGCTTCCTAAGAACTGCGGTTCCATGTGATATGCAGGGACTTCTGCTGGCCGGGGGCTTTTGTATCCACTCAGACCCTACTGTCTCCAAGAGATGACCTCCCAGCATTCATTCTGCACGATGGCCTGGCTTTGGGGAATTGGGCACTNACTAAATACAGTAAAAATCTCAGCACATTCACATCTGGTTACCCAGTAGTATTACTCGTGTGCAATTAAACAAGAGACCAAAACCACAGAACAAGAGCACAGGGTGGGGGTTACAGTCTGAGCCCACTCTTACTGGAAGCCATGGCAGCTTCTGGGGGTGGCAATCAGGGGCTCAAACGGTGATGCTGCCAGGAGGGACTCCTGATTCCAGGGGCAAATTGACCTTGATCCGAAGGCTCAGCGGTGAACTCGCTCTCCTTCAGCTTGGGGAATCCAGGATTGGAGGGGCTGCTGGGTGGCAGAAGCCACAGAGTCCTCCCCTGTCCAGAACCTGAGGCCACATGAGCCCTTTCTCTCTGGGCTGGGGCCTGGCCATGCTTGTCCAGCAGGGCATCAAGCGCTCACAGCCAAAGGCCTGAGGGTGTGGGGCCCACCTTCAGGGTTGGGACCTGGGGATAAAGGCTGCATTGTTGGAGCAAGGCTCTGTAAATGGGGCCTTTGAGATGGATTTCTATCCTAGAGGCAAGGCCTGGCTGTTGTGCTTTTGGAGGCAGCAGTGAGTTCAGGAGTTCAGGGCAGGGCAGGGAATGGATCTGAAGGAGATGGCCCACAAGGGAGTGGAGGCTAGGTTGTAAGGCGGGGACGCCACACTGCTCACCAGGCTCCCTGCTTTAGGCCCCTTCCTGCCCCTGGAGCGTGCTGTCCTCAGCCACCATTCCTCAGCAGCTCCCACTGCCTGCTGGACTGACCTCGGATCTGTCACCACAGGGTCTGGGGTCCTCTGGGGTCTAGCCACAGGCTGCCTTCCCTACTGCCTCTTTCTGGCTCCATCTATCCTGGGGCCTGCCTGCTTGCACTGTGTGTCGGGCCCTCCCTTCTTGTCCATAGTTAAACCTTTCTGGGAAACCTTCCTGGCTTTCCCCATAGGCCTGTGCCACCTGCTCTCGATGTGGCCGACCGGTAGCCCCCAGGGCTGACGGGGCTCTCCTGTGAGGCATCTCTGGAAGCATGACCTGTGGATCATGATCAGGAAAGAGCCCTTTTCCTAAAGAGGAAAATGTGTGCCCAGGAAGGTAGTGAGAGAGAATGGAGTCGACCTGGACAATGCCCACATGTGGCTTCTCCAGAACAGTTCATGCCAGCGCATGTGTCCTTGTCAGGACACAGGGAGGGAGTGGTGATGGTCTGTGAAATTGAGGGTGGGGGCTTCTTGGAGGTCACGGGGCTGGCGCAGTGACTGGCCTCTGCTTGGAACAGGTGCAGGAGAACTCCCCAGCCCAGCAGGCGGGCCTGGAGCCCTACTTTGACTTCATCATCACCATCGGGCACTCGCGGCTGGTGAGCTCCCGCAGCCTGCATCGCTTTGCTGCGTGCGTGCGTGCGTGTGTGTGTGTGTGTGTCCTTCTGCCCCACAGGAGGCCCCAGCCTGGTTCCTGCTTCCCATTTCTTCTGGAGGGAGGCCTAGCTCCATCTCCCCTTCTTCCAGGGCTACATTAGCCTGACTGGGGCCCTGCCCGATTCTCAGCTCCTTAGCTCTCTGGGTGGACAGAAGGCAGATGGACTCTTGGCAGTGGCCACAAGGCCTCAGGGGCCCGTCCTTGGGGCATGAGAAATATGAGGGCTCCGGTCAAGGGCAGCTCAGAGTGAGGCAGCGCCGCACTGCTCTGGACCCAGGAGGCTCTTCGCTTGCTTTGTTCTGTTTTCCGGGGGGCTGAGGGAGGCAGGTTTAGCACTGCTCGGGGGTGGTAGGGGTCTCAGTAGCTGCTGGCCCAGCCGCTGCCCCAGTGCATCCCACACCAGGCCCTGCTGAGGCAGCTGGCCACCAAGGTCCCATCTCAGACCTAGACTTACCTGAGGGGCCCTGCTGGGGTTTGGAATGGAGGGGGGCTTGGAGTCAGCCCCCTGCCCCCGCAGAACAAAGAGAATGACACGCTGAAGGCTCTGCTGAAGGCAAATGTGGAGAAGCCCGTGAAGCTGGAGGTGTTCAACATGAAGACCATGAAGGTGCGCGAGGTGGAGGTGGTGCCCAGCAACATGTGGGGCGGCCAGGGCCTGCTGGGCGCCAGCGTGCGCTTCTGCAGCTTTCGCCGGGCCAGCGAGCACGTGTGGCACGTGCTGGTGAGTGGGGCGGGGCGCCGCAGATGTGGGTGTGGCGATGAGCGAGCGGAGCATGCGTGCCACAGGGCCCGGGGCTGTGTGGGCAGGGCACATGGGGGAAGGCGATGCGGCCAGGTGTAGCTGGGGGTAGGGGTGGAGTGTGGGGGCAACTGGGAAGGGCCAATAGCCAGTGGGCCTCACTCATTCCAGTGTCCCAGAGAGGACAGCTCATCCTTACCTGCACATGGCTTCTACAGATGTTGCTGTTAGTGTCTGTTCACAGACACACGGGCACATGTGACATGTATGTCCACTGATGGTGCCCGAGTTCTCAAGAATGCTTGGTCCTGCAGCTTGGTCGAAGGACCGTGCCCTCAGCTGGAAATTGGCTGATTTGGTTTCTAGCCTTTTCTAGAGCTCTCTTTCTTGGAGGAGCCTTCTCAACCTTTTTAGCCTGTTTCAGTTTGTCCATAAGTTCAAGTGGGGGTGATGGTGCCAATCTCTTGGCATTTCTCTGGGAGACTGGGAGTGGTGGAGCTTAACAAGGGCCCTCTCCCAGGGAGAAAGCGACCCTTGCACCCAGTTCTCACTGCCCTGGCCTNGGATGAATCAGTCAGCCAGAAGGAAGTCTCTGGCTGGGGGCCGTCATCACGGCCGATCACCATAAGTCTGCGATTTCAGCGGGATCTTCAGAGAACTCAGACTCTAAGCAGAGTAAGCCCTCAGTAAGCAGGCAGGACACAAGGAATCTTCAACTAGCTGTAAGTTACACACGAGCTGTCACCCTTCTAGTTCTTTTTTTCTCCCCTTTCTTGAATCAAACTGAGCCAAACTCATACATTCAAAACATGTTCTCCTCTGATGCCCAGAAAAAGCTGCTACCACCGCCTGTGGCACACAGGGCTTCTGAATGTCCTCAATGACATTAATTCTTTACACATACTTGTTCACTTTCCCTGACATTTCGGAGTTAGAATTTGATTTTTTGGTAACATTCAGAGCCAAGGTCAAGCAGACCATCAGAGCAGGTAGTAACAACATTTTGGGCCACCATGAAGTATGATGACTACACAAGGAGACGCCGGGCTTTCTGGCGCAGCTAACTGGCTAGCTGTGGAGGTAAATCCAGCAGATCCACGGATACTCAGAAATAGCTTTGGACGAAGCTGCTAAGCTGCCTACTTGTAAGGACAAAGGACATTTGACGATATAGGGTTTATTCTGTTTATCTTGAGCAGTCTCACTGATTGAAAGCTCCTTGAATCTCCGTCAAGATAGGACGGATGCTCTTACTTGGAGATATGGAAGGCAGGGCAATGATTGAGCACACTACAAATATGTCATAATTCAGCAAATGCTAAAATAGTTCTTAAATGAATCTTTTTAACTTCTGAGTAATTTTAAATCAATTATCTTGATATAAAAGCACGAACCATGGTTTACTTCATTTTCTTCTTCATCCATTGGATTTACATGTGTTCTAGGCCAATATTCTAGGAGGGCCTGGAGTAAAAGTCCTCCTAAGTTCACTGCAAAAGAGTTGATTAAAAAGAAAATTAATGGAAAAGACAGTTAGTAGTTTTCACCTAAAAATAGAGGGAAATAAAAATTATAAATTTTCATATATTCTGATGTTAAATTCTTAACCCAATGCCAATGATGTTTAAAAGCAAGACTTTAGAGCTTTTGCCAAGTCTATTAAAATTTTATCTTAAAATGTTTAAAGCAATGATAATATGGAGCAAACAGATAGATATTCTATTGGGTTGTTCAGACACAGCCATTCTTTAAAAACGAACACACACAAACAGGAGTTGCATTCATTAAAGGGCTATTTCCATATAAAGCCACTAAAACTATATTTGTATACATCAGGTATTTATTTCCACATGCTACGTTTTCAGGACAATGCTGACCAAAGATATCATCAACAAAATAGAACAGACTCATAAAGATGAGCACATAGCAGAAAACAGCACAGACCCACCTTCTCTTTCGCAAGGAGGAAGAGAAGGAAGGACAAACTCACATTTTGGATCTGAACCATCCGGGCTGCTGAAACCAGCATCTTTTGCAGAAACCCAAGCAGCAAAACAGTCACTCTCATCCAAAGTAATGGTCAACATCTGTAAAAAAAAAAAAAAAATCTTAGTGACATTCCATTGGAATATATTCCAAATAAGTCTCTAAACCTTTAATTTGTACTATTTAATTAAAGTGCTAAGACACAGGTTCAGAACCAAAATGTGCTTTGCGTGATTCAATGCAACTACTATTTACTGGGATACCAAAGGTATTTAAACTGCATTTTGCAAATATTAACATGAATTTTCCTTTCATACTTAAAAACATAGAACTGTAACTAATAATACTTACTTTGTAGCTATATTAGAAAATTTCAACTATCCAAAATTGTACAAATATCAACTGCTATCTTACCCCTGTTTTTAAGTCTACGGAGAACCAATTTGGCACATACACCATCTTAAACCTTTTCTTAATTTCATCTTCAAAATCCACTTTGCCCAGATCTTCAACTTTACACGCCTATACATCAAAAAGAAAGTATGATAATTATCAAAATTATGTGGCAAATTAATCTGATTCTGACTTAGCTCTTCAAAATTTTATACATTTGTACATTTGTCTAAATAAGCTGGAGTCTAAAATACATTCTAAAAAGAATGTAGTCAAATATTTTTATCTTAAAGCCTTTACCTTTAAACAACTACTAAAAATTTAAATTTAAAAAACTCATAAAATATTCTTTTTGGAAATTGCAATTTAATTTTGCTGATATTGATATAATATACTAACACACTTACCTGCAAGCAATGTCAAATGGAGCAAAACAATCTTCAAGGAACAAATAACAGTTATTAAGTTATTAAATAACTTTAAGAGGTCTCTGAAGCTGCCTTCAGATAACAGCTGTGAGATAGGCAGCATTTTGGTTTCTTTTTCTTGACCATTATAATCCTTCCTTATTCTCCCTCAATCCCTAAACATGTGGGCTCCCCAAAAGCAAGTCCTGAACTTCCTCCGGTGCATGGAGCATTTCAATCCTGAACAGCTCCTCTCAATCCCGAAGCGTATCACAGAATGTTCCTTCCACCTCTTCATCTTAACAGCAGCCTGGCTCTTTCCCTGGGGTCCCCATTCTTCAGTCGTCTTCTCAAAGGGTGACTGCTTCTTCTACATCCCACTGCTCCTTACTGGCACAGAGAGACCATTGTCCAGCATCTCTACGTAAAGACTCCTTTTTCTTTGAGGCCCATGTCTTTAGCAGCAGTAAACTGTACCCCCTTTCCTCACTGCCAGCTAGCAGCCTGTGGTCGCTCTCTCCCTCTCACTACAGGCTTGTGAGCTAGTTCAGTGCCCTGCAGTCCAACTTGAGTTCTTGCTTTCATCCTGGACAACACGAGGGTTCACATGGACAACACAAAGGACATGTTGGCCTCTCACACCCTTAATGTTCCTGCTATGAATGGATGAACTCCAACCTCAGAGGGATCATTAATGCCACCTGGGATTGCTTCTGCTTCCAGGGTCAGTTCTCCACATCTTTGTCTTTCCTCCTGTCTTTGACCTTGCTACCTCCCGCACTACCCTGAGCACACGACTCTGATCTCTACTCCTCAAAAAGAAAAGCCTTGACAAAACCCTTAACTTTCTGCTACTATTCCTGGTGCAAGGAAAAAGGTGCCCTTCTGCTGTGCTCTGCGTCCCCTCACCTCTCGCTTCTTGGGGACCTTGTCTCATCATCTACCCTCTCCTGTCTCTACTGGCTTCTCCCCATGAGCAGTGAACCACATTCAAATTCCTCCCTGAAAAATCCCTGAACACTGACACAAAAGCTCCCCTTGACCCTCTCATCCTTCAATCCTCTCCAGCCCCTGCTTCTTTCTGTCCACCTCACCAAAGTCAAACTTCACCAAAGATGGTTTCCACTCCATTCCGTTTCTTCGCCTCCCAGTCACCACTCAACCCACCCCAGCTGGCTTTTGTCCTTGGGACTCCTTAGCCACTGGTCTCCCCAGTCACCATCCTCTGCACTGGTTAAATCCATGTGCACAGTCCATCCCAGATTTCACATGAACTCTCAGCAGGCCAACGCTGCTAACCACAGGCTCCTTTCTGAAATGCCTAATTAGTTCTTAAGCTGCCACTGGCTCTTGGTTTTCTTATCCCTTTTTATTATACACCTATGTGGCTTCCTCTTTTTCTAACAGTTACTGAAACAGTGATGACTTGGATTCTTCTTTTCAGTATAGATGTATCCCTTGGAAACGCTGACGTTTTCCGTGACTTTATAATCCACAAGCTGGTGACCGGTGAACCCATTTCTCCAGCCTGGCTCTTTCACCTGTGCATTAGGCTGCGGAGCTGTCTGCCCAGTACACGCTCTACCCAGATATCCCGCTAAACTCAGATTCATTGTCTTCCTCATGTGTCTTTCCGCTAACAACCCCCTTTCCCTCTTGCATTCCCTTTATCACTTCCACTCACCAAACTGTCTACTCCAGAAACCCGGGTTCATCTCTGCTCCTTCCTCTCCTTCAAACGCCCTTTGATTCAAGCATCACTCTTATCTACAGGCCTAAATATCTTTCTATTCATTCTATTTTTTTCCCATCCCCCTTGTCCCACCCTAGTCCAGATGAATACCTGATACTTCACCTATAGTAGTGCAACAGCCTCCTGATTGCTATGTGCCAGCCACTATAAATACTTCTTGAACATTCCCTCATATCACCAGAAAATAGGTACGAGCACATTTGAGGAATAGACGGAGACTTCGAGAGGGTCAGCATGTTCCGGAGATCACTGGGCTAGCAGCTGGCAGAGCCAGGATTCGAGTGCAGCTCTGCCCAACTTCGAGCCTATGTTCCTAATTCCTCCTGACTTCCTTTCTGTTTAATGTCATGTTCATTAGGCCCACTCGCTTGCTCTCTAGTGTTTGGGTATGGGAAGCTGCTAGGGACACAAAAATGCCAGTTACGGGGCATGCCAGCTCAGTGCCCATCTAAGTAGAACTACCTCCCATTCAGATAGCAGGACTTTACTAAGGCTTCGGCTAATTATACCAAGAAGACATCAGACTCATAGGCACAAAATCAGTAAGTTGACCTGCAAAGAACAGCTGGCCTGATTAGATTTTGTTAGATATTGTGGGGAGTATCAGGTGCTGGGCAGCAAGAGGTGAAGCCCAGCCCCAGGGTGGGGCTCGGCCCACATTAGTAGTGGAGTATCCAAGCTCCTGCAGACGAGGTCCTTAGGGCTGCTCTGGAAACCCCTGTCTCCACGGGACCCCACTGTGCAACAAAGGTGAGTTTCTAGTCCCCTGATAAGCATTTCTCTATCGTAGAGAAAAACCATTTGGACTTTTGGAGCCAGCTCTATTCAACTTTCCACTCAACTAAGGCCTCTTGTTCTGAAGCCATGCTCACCAAGCAACTGCTTTGTAATGTGACTTCCCACCAGCTGCCCGACAGGGAGGAAAAGTGTTAGGCCACCGTTTCTATTCAGAGACAGTCTCCTTTTCCCAGAAACATTTATCTTATTCTTTAGCTCCAGAAGTTAACTTAAATGAATATTTGTTCCTTACAAACAAGAGCCTAACCAAAACCCCAGATCTTTTCAATCCTTCCTTTATAATATATCCAACACCTGTCTTTTCCTTTCAGATTTCCCCCAAATCATCATGACAAGTGTCTTCCAGCTTCTTCCCTATTATATGTACTACTACTGCTTCGAACATGGGCTTTTCCTGCTCTAAAACCATCCAAGATTAAGACTCTTTAAGGAGCACCAAAGAAAGGCCAACTCTGGGGCCTGCAATTCAAGACTCCGGGAAATGACTTGGATATCATCTTTCGCGCTTATACCGTTAGTACTCCCTTATACTCAATCTCCAATTACACACAACGGCTCACCTTGCCCTGAATAAGCATGCACCTTCCCTCTTCTGTGCTTCTGTCACTCAGTACCTGTTCCTAAGACACCCTCCCGTCATTCGTCTGCTGGGATCCTTTAGGCCCATATTTCAGATGATTTCTTGCCCATGAAGCCCTCCTGATCTCTGCAGCTGCAAGTAACTGCCTGAGTCCGTAAGCCATCCTGTGGTCTGTTTAAGGCTTTCACATCCCCCCACTCTTGCCCCTCCTACCGGAAGGGACAGACTTATCTGTCATCTATGACCCACAGCACAGGTCTCTGCACACAACACTCATTCAATATTCATCCAGGAAATATCTGCTGAACAAAAATACCAACAATACTAAGAAGGGACATTTGTCAGAGCTTTTCTAAAAGCAAACTTTTCAAACTCCCTATAGACCCTCCAGGGCTATTTAAAATGCGGCTGAATAGCTTAACACACCTCAACTGTCTCAGATGGAGTCACTGTAACACGACCCAGAGTTGTAACTGATGCTCACAGTCACGGCTGGAAAGCCTAAGAAACAGCCAAGCTTGTTTTGTGTACTCTAGTGGCTCTCAACCTGGGCAATTCCACATCCTTCCTCCTTCCTCTCCCTAAACATCTGTCAATGTCTGGAGACATTTTGGGTTGTCACCACTGGAGGGGTGGTGACTGCTACACATCCTACAACACACAGGACAGATCCCACCCCCCTCACCCCCAGCAAAGACTTATCTGGCCCCAAAATGTCAACAGTGCCAAGGATGAGGAACTCTTATGTATTCATTTTCAGGTAAGGCAGCACATAGCACAGTGTGTAATATACTAAACAGAGAAAATGGTTCCATTCAAATTTTAGGCATTTAAAAAGATAAACTATGGCCTTATCTAACATTCACATATGAAAGTATCCACTCCCCACCCCAATAAGGTGTTACTGCAATTAAATCTTAATTTGTATATTTATTATCTAGGTTATTTTACAATAAAACAATAAATGGGATACATGATTCAGTAACCTATATTTAATACAAAAAGATACTTACCTTCAATACATCCCAATATGCCACATTATTATTGGTATCTTTGGTTAATATATGTCTCTTATCATTAAGAATGTGGCACTGAATAATACTAGCACCCCCTAAAGGAAAAAAACCCACACAATTAACAAAACAATCCTACTACATTGAAATTCATAGTAAGGCAATAATTGTTAACTAGTATATAACAAAACATAAATCATGCTAGCTACGGGAAGGAGAAGGCAAATCAGAAAACTATATAATTATATTTAAGGCCAAACAAAAATCGTCAGATTTTAATAACAGATTATAGATTAAAAGACACTTCACTTCAAAGGGCTAATAGTGGAAAACTGTTATGGGTAAGCAGTTTTATCCACCAGGAAAAGTCCAAAAGATGACAGGAGACCTCTGAGTTAGCCCCTTCTCTCACTAACTGCTGCTTCCTATCTTCCTTCTCTTTTATGCCTCCCACAGGGACATTCTATTCTAAGGGGAACAGCATGGACATCTAACTGCAGATGAATGTGTCATTCAATATTCTAATCCCCAACTCTGACAGTCAAGTCCGAGTGCCCCTCCTAGCTGTAGCACGTGGAATTCAAGGACCAGATCTGACTTTTTCTGGCTTGGGCCAAAAGATAACATTAAACTATGTATTTTTCAAAATGGCTGTTGGCTTTACCAAGACCATGACTATTCTGATTTGAGGGTAAAAAGATTAAAATTAATTCAAGAAAGCCCACTTTTTAAAGTCACTAAACAGCAGTTTTTAAATGTTTTTCTTCTAATAAAAATAAACCAATATGCTATTATGAGTCTTTTGCTGACACCAGAATTACATTTAAAGGGAGGTCATCTCCTTTATTTTTGTCAATCTCTCAGTAACTATAGTTAACCTAAATAAAAGTTACCATAACCTTCCAATTTCCTTACTCACCTTTAATAACCTGGTCAGGTTGTGTACAAAGGGGTGTTATAGGATTTGTACAGTCGTTGTCGTAATCTCCAGAGGCTCTAAAGTTATGAATTCCCTTCAGCGTCTGAAGGAACAAAATTCATTATTTAATCATTGTATGCTTTATAAGCTTTGCCAATCTGTTTCAAGTGGCAAGAAAAACAAAGAACAAATGAAAAAACCCCAACAATAACAACATCGATCAAAAAATACTTAGTTACAAAATATGATTATCTACCATGATTAAAAAAACTAAAACAAATATTAAGGAGAATGTTGTCTTTTTGGAGAGAATATTAGGCAATCTTCCAGGTAAACTATGTTGATCTCAAATTGGCACGATGAAATTTAGACAAGACATATAACATTTTTTATAAGTACAGGAATAAATGCAAACGCTTTCTCTTTTGTTATCCACAAACTGGTAAGCAAGAAAACCAAAATCTTCTTTAATTAAGATTAAAAAACAGTGCTTTTGATGACTCTTCTCTGCTCATCCTCTGTTTCTACTCCTGTTCTTCAAGTTAAGAAGAAAAAGGAAATGAATTTGAAAGCACAATTTTCTGCTTTCTCTATGTTTGGAAAAACAGAATCTTAGGAAGTTTTCCTGCTGTGTTGGCACTTGGGCTTCCTATTTTCAAATTCAGCTCCACGAGGCCAGAAGCTGTACTAATATTTACTGGTCGTATCAGGCTACAGTGGTTATTCTAAGCATATCGAGTGTGCTTCTTGGTTCCTGAGAAAGAAGTCAGAAGCTCTGAGTATTACCTTAATTGTAGTATAACTCTTAGGTTCACACCTGCATTCATAGGGGTTTCCGGATTTTTGCCACTGTCCAAAAGCACGCTGAGTATCGTAGCATTTGCTGCTGGTATCTGGCAGGTCTGTGATAACACACCACACGTTTATAGTCCTTTGCCAGGTGTAGAGTGGCTCACTTACCCACTTATTTACTGTAGATTTAGTTGTTGCAACCCAGATTGCAGGCGGGGGATCAGCTGACCTATCCAGCTCCATCTGAAAACAAAGCATAAAAATATTGCTTTGTGGAATGCTGACTCTTCTGAACTGCCTGGAAGAGCTATCCATTATTATTAAATATCAGGTCCTGCATTCAACATTTGTGTGCTGACTATACTATGGCTGGGTTAAAAGCTAGGGATGCACAGTGAATGAGGGAGTCTGTGCTTAAGAGAGTCACGGCCCTATAAAAGTACAATAGGGGTGATTTCTCCCCAAAAACAGAGGCTTCAAGTTTTAAGTGTTAATTTAAGGGATCTAAATGGATACAGTCAAAAGGGTGACTTACCATAATTTTTTGTTTTTGCGTTCTTTCTTAATAACAAAGAAACAGGTTTCTTTTTTCTTTGAAAATGTTTGTAGTAAAAAAAAACCAAAAACATTCTAACAACACAACGAAAGTGAAAAGCACCCATGTAATTCACTCCCCTCACCTAAAAACAGTACACTTGTGAACAGTTTACTGTGTGTCTTTCTGTATGCAAATATGCAAATCAAATGCCCATATATTCATCCACTGTTTTCCTGTACAGGAAATTGCAGGTTTGGGGTTGTGGAGACAGGGCAGGACTCCTGGCAAGCAGGAACCCTCTTCAGTTCAAAGTGATGTTCCTTGTAACACACGGTTCCCTCTTTTACTCCACAGCCGGGAGATGCTGGCAGCTGCAGGACTCCCAATGCGGGGTTTCTCCTCCACACTAGTCTCCCCCATCAGCCTGCTTCCTGCACACATGCTTTGTCTGTATGATTTCAGCCCCAAATCTCTTGCTTCCCTAAAGGATTACTGGTCTTGTCCATCAGGTGTGCCATCTATTGTCAAGAGCTGTGCTCGGCCCGTTTTGCATGAGCTCCTAGGCCATAGGCATCCTCTCAGCTGTCTCACTGGACCTCTGTTCCCATTTTCAGCCCTTCCTCCTAGACCGTGGTCTGGGTTTCAGGTATCACTTAGTTTCATAGATGATGGATATTTGTAGTTCTGGTTTCTTGCTTTCCTTATTTTCAGATGATTTCTGAGAAGAGGCGGTAGCACTGTCTTTATGCCTCCATTTTAAATCTAGAAATTTCCTCACTGTTGCTTTAATGTGCAATTCTGCGATTAACAGTGAGGCTGGACACCTTGTCACATGACGACTGGCCATTTTTTCCTCTCAGCAGAGCAGACCCTATCAGAATCAGTGAGAGGCAGGAAGGTGTGGAGATGAGGAGGCAGCTCGTTCGCTCTGCAGGCGCCTCTTCCGCACCATCCCTCTCAAGGCTCTGGACGTCTTGCTGCTTTGCTGTCCCCTCACAGATACCTGAACCCCCCAATATTCCTCCTCTAAGGACAGGCTAGGAAAGCCAGGTGATCTCAGGAGCACTGCGGGGCAATCCCACCGGGATTCGCTGGTGGGAGAGCCAGGCATCCCTGACGTACCCAAGAGGTTGACATTTCTTCCAGTGACTCACAAAAATGTTAAGGTATCTTTTTTATAAAGATACCACAGTTGATTCATGTTTTAATATAGATTTCGCTGTATTTGGCTAGCACACGTAACAATCTTAATTATAAAACTGAAATATATGACACACCTTGAGGACCGGTGCTTTTTCTTCGCAAATGAGCACTCGAATGTCAGGGTTTCTCAGGTCTGTACAATAGATCTTCCGGTCCCTTCCTCCAGAATACACGTGTGTGAAGGCATCATTGACTTGCAGAGCCCAAACGCCTTCATCATGGACTCGGTACGTGGCTATACACCTCTGCTGACCAAGGGACCAAAGGCGAATTGTCCCATCAGAACTGCCGGAAAGGCACTGGGAACAAAGAAACTTAAGGTCAGAAAGCAGCCCCAAAATTCCTGCTTTCCTGTGCTTTGCACTTGGCTTCTCGCCTCACTCCACGCTGTCAAACACACACCTCTACCAACCTCTGTTCCTGCCTCTGAAAAGACTTCTGACAAGCTCGCACCACAGGCTGAAATGACCAAAGGCAATGCTCAGGGAGCACTGAACAAACCTCTGAACAAAACTGCCTTCGTCCTCTCTACCTGGCCACCTGCAGCGCCAGCATCCCCTGGGAACTCGTTACAAATATAAATCCCCGGATCCCACCCCAGGCCTGACGAGGCAGAAACTCTGGTGGGTCCAGTAATCTGTGTGTTGCCAGGCTCTCCAGGTCCTTCCGGTACGCTAAGTTTGAAGCGCTGCACCAGGTCAGCAAGCCTTTCGTGCGCTGGGTCACATCTCTGCCTTGTCCCTTCCCTCATGGCTCCGGGTTGATGATGGCCAGCCTGGTCTCTTGGATTCTACTGACGGGAGTCAGGGCAAATCAAGTCCCAGGTTTACCGCTCACTCTCTGGGACCCTGGATACTTCCATACAAGCCTTAAGTTCAACATCTATTAATATAAAATGTGGACCCTTGGCATTCAGAGTTAACATCAGCAATTCTGACATTTTCGAAAGGCTCAGGAGCAACCACTACACAGAAGTTGCTGGCATACAAATGAGGGCTGAGCACACTGTGAGTGTGACNTTATTAAGACAAACTCTAATTTTGTACTCTGGCGATTCCTGGAATTATCATCTCCCTCATTCTACATGCAATGGCTCACAGTCAGCTTATTAAATCACTCAGTTTTTCCACACACACTGCAGTTACTTTACATTTTCCCCATCCTATACTTTTATATTGCCTTTAAGTCTAAATGCAAGAAACTGAGAGGCCTAATTAACTCTCTTTACTATCCTAAGAGGCATATTGCTCTAGTGTCTAGAATGCAATTAAGTTACAATTTCGAGTTCCGTTTTAGTCAGGAGCAGGCATTCTCATGGCTTGCATGCTGGGGTTACTTAAATCCTGTCACCGATGCACTTAAAAATCACCTAACAGGGTAATAAGCTATTTTAGACTTTTATTAATTTTATTAATTTCACTCAATTCAACAATTTCACTCAATTCCTGAATGCTTAGGACATTGTACTTATCAAAGAGATAAAAAAACAAAGAAGGGAACTGCCCAGAAGGCTATGACTTAAGAAATTTGCTGTGCTTGCTTTACTGAAGAAACCCCTTGTCCTATTAAACACTCAGATTTCAACCTGTAGAACTACATACATAAGAGGTCCAACAATTAAGTTCGTAAACTCATCCTAGAAAAAGTGCCACATACCTCACTGCTGAATATCACTATGGTCACCTTGGAAGTACTCCCTTTGGGAAGCTATGCACTGACACCAGCGCCTAGTCCACCCTTCAAAGCAATTTTGGAACTCTTTTTCTGGAATGGCCATCAGAGCTGCT